TACGCAGGCATCAAGCTTGAACCAGTATTCGAGACCACGATCAATCTCCTGCATCCTACGCGCCGGTGAAGCTCGTGGTAGACGTGCCCGGCCCCAGCTCTGGCTGAAGAGCCGGGAGTCGGCCTCCGGTACCATGGCTTTGGTGCTTGGCCGTGCGATGTTCTCATGGCTGACGGCATGGACCATTCTCGTGGCTTTCGTCTCGTTGAGCGTGCAGCGAGCTACAGCGGACACAACGAGGTGGATACAATATACCGGCAACGATGGCACAGTGTGGCTCGACGATGACCGCCGACCGTCTTTGTACACTCAAGATTATGGTGATTGCATGGGCGATTCTCTGATAAATGTTACTCGTTTTGACGCGGCGTACTACAAAGACAACATGACGGTACTTTTCCACCTAGAGGGCCATTCTGCGTTGACAAACGAGAGCTTGATGTGTGAGTTTGCCGACTTTCCGCGAATTAAGGTGCTGACAGCCGCTGATCTGAACATCCAACCCGCAGTGTACATCGGTGTCTACGCTTACGGCGAGTCGCGTTTTAATCTGACCTTCAACCCGTGTGTTGCCAATATCAACAGTCTCTGCCCTCTCAATTCTTCAATACCCATCGACGCAAATGGCATCATCCCGGTCGCACCATCGGACGTGGCCAACATTCCCTCCATAGCACTGACCATACCGGACTTTGAGGGGATGGCCATACTGCGGATCTTCGCCAACTCGACTGAATCTCAAATCGCCTGCTTCTCGGCGGTGGTGACGAACGGAGCTTCGTTCTCACACCCTTCTGCTGTGTCCTCTATTCTAGGCGCTTTTGCTGTGATCGCATTCATATCATCGATCGCAACCTCAATCTATGGACAGAATATCCCCGAGATGCGCACGCATTATGCCCACTCTATATCCATGTTGGTCGTGTTCGCGGTCTACCATCACATCTTCTTTACTGGAGGCCTGTCGATGAATTGGCCAAGCGTGCTCGTGGCGTTCTGGAGCAACTATGCATGGTCGGCCGGTATAATTTACAACAGGCACATGCAAAATACCATCAATCACTTTATTGGCAGCAACCGTGGCAATATCAGCATGATTGGCGCTGCCCCGAACGGTCAAAATGCTGTTGGGCTTGGTGGTGGTTACCAAATCACGCAGATCTACAAGCGGGCAACTTCAGCTACGCTGGGATCCTACGGTGACGTGTTGAAGAGACAGGCGGCAGTGCCAGCCAACACGACTAGCGGCACCGCCCAGTTTTCCTGGTATGGGAGACCAGTGCTCCCCGGACTTCCTTTACCCGGCAACTACTCCGGCTTTGCTGGAACCCTCGCAGAATTGAACATACCAGCCTCCAACGCCTTCTTGACGGGGTTGCTTTGGTACCTCATACTCGTCGCCTGCCTTTTGGGATCTCTAATCCTCCTGAAATGGAGTATTGAAGCTCTAGCCGCCTGCCACATTGTCAAGACAACTCGGCTTGGGTACTTCCGGAAGCATTGGCTATGGTTTGCGGGTGCAGCTGTACTGCGGACATGCTACATTGCCTTCTTCATGATGATGTTCCTCACTATGTTCCAGTTCACCTTGGGCGGAGCTCACGGCGTCAAAGCTATCGCTGCAGTGATCCTTGTGATGTTCCTTGTATCAATGCTAGGCGTTTCCACCCTCGCAATCTGGTACAGAACTAAATCTGAGGCTCTGCCGGAGATCCTCGAACACGCCAGTGAGGGGTCTGAGGGGAGCGAAAAGACCGGAAATTCTGCCTGGTATAAGATCAGCTTTAAGAGAGCGCCCGAGAACTCGGACGTAGACGGAGGCGCCCGTCCCAAGACGACCTGGTGGCGAAAGCGTCTGCCAAATCTCGGTTCAGGCAGAGTCCATCCACATGACGACGAGAACTACACGATCAAATTCGGCTGGCTCGCCTCTAGATTTCGCAAGAGTAAGTGGTGGTTCTTCTCCGTCTGGTTGATCTACGAGCTTGTCAGGGCTGCATTCTACGGAGGCGCTGCAGGGCACGCTCTAGTGCAGGTTTTCGGTCTGCTTGCCTGGGAAATCATTGCTTTCGTTGCCGTCCTCTTCATGAGACCCTTCGAAAGCAATCGCCTCAACCTCATTATGGTCTACTTCCTTGGGTTCAGCAAAGTCGCGACAGTTGCACTGGCGTCGGCTTTTGATGCTCGATTCGGACTTGACCGTATTATCACCACGGTGATTGGAGTGGTCATCATCGTCATTCAGGGCATCCTGACCATTTGTCTTTTCATTGCAATTGTCCTTGGAGCGATTTCAAGCTATATGTCGATCACTCGCTACTCAGAGACCATTAAACCGCGCTCGTGGCTGAAACCTCGAACCCGATACTTCTCACACGTTGCCCACAAGGCAACTGATCGACCGAAGCCGCCTCCGCCACCTCCACCGCCAGAGCCTGAACGTCCCAAGGAACCTTATTTTGCCGTCTCTAGCGTACGACGGGAGCTCAAGATTGAGGATGAGGATCCCGACAATCAAATCCCTGAAGTCGGCATGTCTCCGAGGGCCGCTAGCATGGACATGGAGAAACCCTTCAGCGTTTCTCGAACCACATCCATGCGCTCTCGGACTAGTATGTCGAATCTGCCGTATGGAGCGAGACCCCATCGTTCGAGCTGGAGCACAAGGGATTTCCAGAGCCTGGACCTTGATCAAGGCTTAAATCCTATGCACGCAAGAATGAGCACTGAGAGTATCCGCGACGTTCCCAGCAGACACCGAGCAGCAAGTCTGCGTGGACAGTCGAGAGCTGGCACACCAATTGGTGATGTGACTGACACGCCCAATGGCTCGGAAGCTCCAGCTTTCCGACGTGGACACCGGCGCAGTGCGTCGACGCCACTGGGGCCGAAACGCAACAACTCGATCGTGGCGGAAGAAAAGGAGCACGACCCAGACAACATTCCCTCAGAGCCGTAGATCGGCCGTGGGAAAAAGCACACGAGACGACGGATATTTGACGACATTCCTGCACATTAGTATTATCATCAGCGCTACAAGGTGTTGATGAGCTGAGCGATGATTGTGATATATTGCACAGTGTTTACTGAGGAAGCCGAGCATAGACAAGGCATCGACGATACTGCATATGGAGCGTCGCAGGGGCGTCTGGACCGCAACCTGGTAGACTCAATGGGCATGGTGGGCGTTGACATTTTTGCACGGCTCCATGTGACGTGCCATTGCGGTTTTCCTGCATATAGTTGGCACAATGCTTGCATCCAGATAGAGAGCGATGATAGTCTCTTGTTGGAGAATTACCTGTGCCCGACAGGGTCAAACCAGGTGCCCAAAGGTACGACGATCTCTTGCAACATCACGATGTTGCTCTCGGTGCTGCTTTCTGGGGGTATGAGATCCTCCCAAGTACCCAAGCGAGGAACTCCCTTGGAATGCCTTAGCTGCCAACTGTACCGCCCCCAACCAGCAGCTTCATCGTCGCTGGTCTGTGGTAGCATCCAATCTCTTGATGCTACGACAAATACGAGGATGGGTTTCACCATCGAGATGGGAATATCCCGGTTCACAGCGCACGAATCTTGACTCCTTTCACAGGCTTCGGACAGCGCTGTATAGAGTAAAGGGTGTTGGTTCCATTGCAGAATCCACGACCGTCGTCTCTGTCTACTGCGTACTAGTACGCCGCACCTGCGGCTGTGAAACGCCATATGTTGGCCAGGAAATCCAGCCTCATTCGTGGCGACGCCTTGAGACGCGGATGGCGCACCCCCTGCATCGAGGCGAGCGGTGCAAAAAGTTTCTACGGCGTCAGATGCCAGCTGAATGTGCGATAGCTTGTCGAAGACGGCACCCCGGCACCCCGGGAGGCTCGACTTTCGAGCCTGGTGCGCCAACCTTTGAACGGGTGAGGCTGCTGGGCCCAACGGCATGGCACGTTCCCTGTGTCCCTCTTTTCAGGGCAAGCGACGATGCCTCGGGGAGTCAATTCCGGGTGATGCGGGTGCGCCGCCAACCACCAATGGCACGTCGTCGTTGCCGTCTCACAAGGGTCGGCTTAAGTAAGAATCCAGCGTGCCAGGGCTCCAGAGAGGCCGGCAGTGACCCTGTCAGCATCCTCACTGGCTCACAGCGGCCGTCCGCTCTTCGCCGTTGGAACTTTGGACAAGCATGATCCTCTGGCCTGCTCGTTCTTACTTCTGGATTCATCAACAACCACCTCTCGAAGCAACACCATTCTCCCTTTTCGTCCCGCTAGTTCATAATAATCGAGATCACTTCCGTCCCAGGTTGCACTAACCAGGCAGCCGCTACCGACCATGGCCTAGGCGGAAGCGGACTTAATCTTCCATACGACCGATTTATAACACCTCAAGAAAAAGACACGAGGTCAGCGGGACCCACGGAGCCCGCTCGTCGTCACACAGCGCGCCAGGCATGATTTCTCGGCCTTGCTTGACCTCCTCTGCAACCTGCTTACGACGAGTCTGGAACGCCAAAACTACTCCATTTGAAACCAAGTCTCCTCCCGCATCCTAACAAACAGCAACCCGCTCACAAGCCTCCGATTCTTTCACGTCCGTCCTTCCGGGTTCTGCCAGGTCCTGGATCACCCCTGCATAGGGTAGGTTTGGGAGCCGATCGCTTTGGGTTGTAGATATTGTGTCCATTGGGTGTAGGCCGTCTTCATCTACTGGTTATTCCACTCTGCCTCATCCTGTCCCCTGCAATTCGCTGTACTTCCAGTGCGAAATTGCCCTGTGTGTTGTCGAAGTACATCTTGAAAATGCTCTGCCAGTTGCACCGGGTGCATACTTTGTCGGTATACACGGCCTGAAGCGGCGGAAAATCAGATACCGACCTCCATTTCCACGCCCTAACGCAGATACACAACCATCTCCAGGCAAGAGAGCAGCAACGAATCGCCGTTGGCCCGTCAATTCGATCTTCATTGACGGGCCCAATATTACCACAAACTCAGACTGAGACACAGACAACAGACATGTCTCCCACAGGTCCCGTCTCCAATACTAGTTCTCGGAGGACCACTGCTTCATCCCAGAAGAATGCCGATAAGGCACAGGATGGGCCGCTGGCAGAAGCGAAGTCGGCCTCGGACGAAGTGACTCCCAAGCGGCCGAAGCGCACGCTGAAACTTACTGCCTCTCAGCGGGAGAGGAAGAGAGCTATTGACCGTGAAGCTCAACGCAGTATACGACTGAAAACCAAGAACTACATTGCTCATCTGGAGAACTTGGTGAGGATCATGGAGAGCGGTGGCTCCTCGACAAATAGTGGGGAAGGCATCCAGCAGTCCCACGACTATCCAGCAGCTGAGCACGAGGGCGAAAGGGCGCGAGCGCTTTTATCTCAACTGAGGCAGAGCGAGGAAGAGGTCCGAGCATTGAAGGAAATGCTAGCCGGAGTCCAGAAGCTTGTCGGCAACGCTCTGAACCCAGCCGACGAGCCTGGCTGGCTGGTAATGCCCAGTACCGGCAACGGCGAACAAGCTGCGCCTCCTGCGAACCCTCTCGCATGCGGGCCCCACGATCAGTTCGAAAACTGCCCGTCAGTTTACTCCCACAGCTCGGATTCCTCGTCTCCCCTGGTCGAGTTCGGATACCAAGCTCCATTCGACCAGCCGAGGCGAGCCAGGGCATCGGGCTCAGAGTATCCCCCGAGATCCTATGGTGTCCAACCCTACACCTTGCAACAACAGGATCTCTACAATAGCTTCGGAAGGGTCTCCGCTCCTGTACCACGACCAGATCCACCAACGTCGGATCCAACCGATGCTAACAATGGCCGGGAAGAGGGCGAATTGTTCTTCTTGTCAGACCGTGAGGTCAACCGGGTACTGGCAGGTGGCCACCAGTCTTTTGCCAATCAGCCGCTCGACGAAGACATCATCGTCCGGGCAGTCCTCCATGGTTGGCGTGATGTGCAGGATCAGTACTTGCTGGACAAGGGGTGGCAGGCGTTGAGAAGCATTGACCAGACCATCTTCCGTGAATGCGGTGTTGTGGAACGGATGGCCATCCTCTACATGATGAGATTGAAGCTTCTCCACCAGAGCAACACCAATCCACAGTATCTGGCTCCGCTGCCGCCATTCTTCCAACGAGGTTCCTCGGAAGACCCCGAGACGCTGAGGAAGACGCCTATCATTGAGCATTTTATCTGGCCGGGCTTGCGCACCAACCTGTGTCGAAACACGAAGAAGTACATCAACAACAAGTTCTCTGATTCATTTCGGCAGTCGTTCAAATTCATCTGGCCGTACGACATATCACACACGTACAACAAGGATCATTCGACCCAGCTTTACTCGATCACAACGGGATTTAAACAGCGGCAATGGGATCTGCGGTCATGGACAATGAGGAGGGATTTCTTTACGCATGCGAGCGAGCTCATTGGGTCGATTCCCGTGTACGAAACGCCTATGGATCGCGTTCTGATACCGGCAGGGTCAGTGGCAGTGCAGCCAGCAAGCCAAAGGGCACAGGCGCCTCGGCTCGTTACCAAGATAGAAGAGTCAGACGCAGAACAGCAACCGATGGGCATGGGGGAGGCCAACAGCCACGCTCCATCTGCCGCTGGGGCTCCGGCTCCGGCTCCAGCTCACATCCAAGGGCCAGTGCCGGCAACCGCTCCTGAAGTACCTGGGCCACACGTGCCGTACACGGCGGAGGTCGAAGCTTGGCTCGGAGATCCTGATATGGTGCCGCAGTATTGGAACATGTCAACGGGCATGGCGGTCGGATATGGCGCGGCTGCCCAGCCGTGGCCGGGCGTCCAACGAGGGTTTGTAGGATAAGGAAGAGGAAAGAGCCTGCTTGTCTGCTTATTTGCTTATCTGCTTATCCTCTTGAGCAGGCGATTGTGTACGCATAGTGAACGCTTTGTTACGTCGGATATGTCATCAGATAGCCTGCTCGACATTGCTGTGTCTCCGAGCCCAGCCAAATGCGCACGCTTTCTTTCGTCCTCCCAATCCTTCATCTTCTGGTGATCGACACGGAGATAGTTCGGACTCATGGGGTGGCGGTGGTGGCCATGTGCCATGGCATGTTGCGATTCCGCCGTCTTCCACGCACCGACCGAGCACCGAGCCTCGGAGCCTCCGTCCTGAAGAAGCTTCTTCCCTGTGTTCCATGTGTGCCTCTATCAATGACATCAGTGGACGTGACGCCTGTATCTCTCAGTCACGTGAGCGTGCAGTCGACTGTCATGCACGACGCTGACACAGCAGCATTGAGCCTTCCAGATATCCAGTCAGTCATTACTTGATCACAAGCTCCATCCAGTTTTGCCGACGTTGTGAGAAATACTGAACAGCATGCGGGAGCGTTGACCTTGGTCTCCAGCTTGCCTGCAATGGAAGAGTAATCACACCCATCTGAGCAGCTATGACTTGTTCCCGTGGCTCGATCTGCCACACCTCTTGATCAAGGCCCCACTGTATGCGCATTGGCTCGTCTAGACCTGTTCCCTTCGACAGCCTGACCCGAGAGGACCAGGTTACTCGTCAGCAGCCATGAATCGCTTAACACGAAAAATCTCCAGCAAGTCGCTGTCGGAGCGAGAAAGCAGAGGGAGGGGAGAAGGACAGCATGCAATCGCGGCGGACCGTGCTCAGAGCGAGAGTAAACCTTCGCTGCTGAATAGACTAAGAAGGAGCAGTCGGTCCAGGGAGAGGCAGGATCAGAAGGCCGTCGACGCTTCCGTGTCGCCCGAGGTGAGTGTTGTTCTAGACACGGCCATGCCTCTCGACCTGCCGCGGCGAAGCTGATCCGAGCGCAGGCAAGAAAACCACCCGCAGAAACCGTGGCGGAAAACGTCTCTTCGTCCAAGGCTGCTGAAGTACCGCCGACCAGCACACATGATGCACCCGAGCAGAAGCATTCCACCGAGTTGGAGGCCAGCGATCCGGCGACGCGAAAGCAGATCTCGTCGACTCCCTCCGACCCTTGTGGTGCTGTGCAGGAGCGAAGCGAACCAGGTATGTCCGATCATCCTTCACGAAGGTAGAGAGATAGTGACCCCGTGGACAGCTCAACAGCACAAGAGCCATCACAAAAAGGACGGCCTCACGAAGGAAGACGTCGAACAGCTCTTCTCTGGAGCCCCGCAATTCGTCCTTGAGAAAGGCCGAAGAGGCCGTTACTTCCCACAAGCCTTCTTCCCCTGGAACAATGACCTCGAGACCTCCGACCTGCAAGATCGAAGGTACATCAAGCACGAAAGCTTCGCCCTCGCCACACTACACGCGCATCTGCCTATCCCCGACGAAGTCAACTGGAAACCTGGATTGACAGCGCCGACAAAGCGGGAAGGCCTCGATATCGGTAAGCGGCCGATGTTCGAGCTAGGCATCTTCGAAAGGCCGAATATGCTCGGCCTGGAGGGTCGGGAACCGGGTACCGTTGGAATGCGCTACTTCCTCGAACGCCCCGTTGCCGACGGCGTGGCGGACGAGAATGCCAAAGAACACGGCAAGGACGTGGAGATTGAGATGGCCATCGCCAATGCCCCGGCAATGGAAGCCTTCAAGATGCTCGCGCTCAGCAAGGAGAATGACGAGCTGAACGCGAAGATTGGCAAGCATGCTCCTGCCGTCGAGCGAGCAAGACTGATTCGCGAGGGACCGCACTCGTGGAAAGCAGTGGGAGTCAGAGAGATCAGCATCGAAACATTGGCGGACAGAATGGACACGATCAGCATGCTTCGCGACCAGGTGCTGGTTGCAGGATGGCGGGAAACCGTGCTGAACCACATGGATTCCGCTGAGCTATACACCCATCTATTCACCCAACTACTCTACCCTCCGCGCAAAGTCCCGACGGGAGCAAAACACGAAAAGGCATCCTTAAAGATCCAGATCGAGGCCTTGGTCAAGGTTCTCACCACCCCTGGAGCCTGGCTGGATCTGAGCGCACCCGAGGCGAGGCTGCGATTCGGGAAAATCTTGCACAGCAGGTCGACACGCTACGACGGTGCGACCGGCTCCTTCATCATCGATCCTGAGCGGAAATGGCTGCTCATTCAACTCCTCCTATCTGTCGAACTGGTCATCCGGCTGGATGCGGCTCTGAGGTTGGGTGTGGCTCTTCATGCTGAAAACTTCGAAGTCAGCAGCGAAGAGATACACCATTTCAACAAGCTTCGCAATCTAAAGGTCGACTGGGATTTGGTGGCAGCCAGACGCTACTTGTTCCTTTCCTACGTCAAGAGGACCGAGAAGAAGGGACCAGCCTCAGTCCCGCCGTCAGAGCAGCACGAACGACCTCCTACGTCGAGGCAACCGTCTTCGGCCGCACACGAGCATCACCATGGCGGTCTTTTTGGTGGCCTGAAACACGCCATGGGGCTGGACACCGCAGCAGAGTCTGCCACACCACATCATGCGCTCGACACGTGCGACGTTGTCGTGATGCCACGTCAAGCTGCCGTCATGGTGGATGGCCTAGTACGGTTTGCGAACAATGTAGGCTGGCCACGGACCGAGGAGCTCCATGAGTCGTTGCGCCAGAAGCTGTGCACGTCAAACGCCGAAGACAGGGAAAGGCTGCTCATGGACGCCATTATGTGCTCGGACGACAGCGCCCTGGAGCCTAAGCCAGATAACTTGACGGGTTCGCTAGCCTCGTTCACTGTCGACCTCCACCCTGCCACTCCCAGCACCGTTGGCGGCTGGCTCTCGCACAGCTGGCTATCGGGCCTCATCGTGCCAGGAACCTCGATCTGCGATATCCTCATATCGACGTTGTTGGAGAACGACACTGATCCACAAACACTTCGCGATCTCGGCTCCACCAGCGTACCCTTACGCGGATCAGGATTCATCCTCAACGGGTCCTCGTGGTGGACCAAATCCAGCATCGTGGGACGCGTGATGGCTCCGATGCGTGGCGCGAAAGAATCAATGGGCTGGGTTTCCACGCCCAATTTCGTGCCCCTGGATGAGCACACCTCGCAGCCGGTATCGAATCGGTGGGTGAAGATTAAATCATTCCCGGTTCCGACAGATAGGGCGAAGCCCAGGATCTTCGACGGCGACAAACTCGCCGAGGACTCCACACCACTGGGCAAAGGCAAGGGGGCAATCATGGCCAGCGAGTTCTCCATGGTCACAGATCACGTCTTCGACAATGTGCCCACGTCCGAAGTGAGAGTCAAGGATATCAAGATCCACCTCTCATCATCCGACCTCACCCAAGCGTCGGCGGACCACCCATTCTCAGCATGGGCCCAATTCGACCTGGCACTCACGCAGCCCAGCCCCACGCAAGACGATCCCGTCGCCGCCTCTACAACCAAACAAGTGCGCTACGGCCTCGATCGCGCCGTGTACTTTGTGACGGCGCACCCGTGCCGTCTCCCACACGGCCACGCCACATTCAAACCGGGCACTCTGGACTTTGAACACGAGCAACAACACCCTCACCACAAGCCCGGCGTGGCAGAACACATCCCCGCGCACCCACTGCACAAGACGTTCAAGTTCGTGGTGAAGTCGCTCGCGGATCTGGTGCAGAATCCGACCGTCGAGCCCCCGAACCCGACGAACCACGATGACCCGGTTTGGATCGTCGACGCGAGAGGCCATGGCTCTGCGGGTGGTGGTCATGGCCATCCACCGCTGAGTTCCAACCCGTCGACCACGTCCACACTCACCACGGCCGCCACGACCACCACTTCGGAAGGTGCCGCATCTGGCACGAACACGGACACGGACGCGGGCATTGGCGTGGCGATAAGTTCGCCGACAGTCAACAACAAGGACACTCCAAACTCGGCGACGAACGATCCCGCGAACTTGGAGAAGTGGCTTTACGAATCCACCGATCCGCAGCTGTGGGAGAAAGACATCCTCGTGAGGGCGTGGTGTGCCGAGAAGGGCAGGAACGCAATCATCGCGCGCAGTGGGAGGACGTGTTTGAGCTGTGCGATTCGCGAGGCGAGGGCGTTGGAGGTGGCCATCGTGGTGAGGGTAGGGATTAGGGAGCGACCGAGCGCGAGCGAGTGAGCGGGTGAGCAAGCGAATGGGCAAGCAAGAGGGTGGGCAAGAGAGTGGGCAGCCAGAAAGTGGGCGAGCAAACGAGAGTGGGCAAGAGAGTGAGCAAGAGAGTGAGCAAGAGAGTGAGCAAGAGAGTGAGCAAGAGAGTGAGCAAGAGTATGAGCAAGCAAGCGAGTGAGTTTGTGAATGCATATCAGCAACACGCGGAGGATCTTGGCTACCCGGAGTCCGGAGGGCAGACCATGAGCACGAGTACGTGAACCAGGGTGAGGGAACTACAGGTATAATTACAGTACATATGCGCGGATGAAAGTATATATTCCGCCCAGGTCTAATGCTCGTCTTTTATACTAGTAGACTCTAGACGCCGGCGGCGTGATATCAAATGAAGAAGCCAGCCTCAGTACATATGATACATTACTTGAATGTAGGACCAAACACGACGACACGACAGGACGAACGGAATGCAGTACCACGTCCGTATAAGGGTTAGAAAGGAGGATGCCACAACATACGGAGTACTACATACGTACGATGTGGACACATACCTAGTACAGAGTAACAGTAGAAGTCACAGTGACAGTACCTGGGCGACTGGGCGAGCGGATGAGTAGGCGAGCAGATGAGTAGGCGAGTAGGTGAGTTGGCGTAGACAAATGGATGTAAATCCCTGGAACCGTCAAGATAGTACGGAGTATAGGATCAGGATATTATCATATGTATTGCGATTTCTGCTACACGTACACGCACATGTATACGACATGGTATAGCGTGCATGTCTCGTAATGAAGGTACTCGGTATATCTTCTACATTTACTCCGTACCGTGTGTGTTTCCATTCTCAGATTACACGCATCTACTTTGTTGGGTTATGTCGTAGCATTCATTTCCATATCGTAGCATTCATTGCCATATCGTAGCATTCATTTCCATATCGTAGCATTCATTTCCATATCGTAGCATTCATTTCCATATCGTAGCATTCATGTTATATCGCAACATATTATATATATATGCGATACTCCATGTGTCCCGTGTGTACCGGTTCGAGGTACGTAGGTAACAAAATAGGTACTGTAACTTCCATCATCACCTAACTGTGGGTATGAATCATGTGGGACAAGCAGAGCCATTCTGTTCTCGAATATAATTGTTCTCTGACTCCCTTGCTCTCGCGCTCTCTCGCTCTCTTGCTTACCCACACGCTCGATCACTCATCGAAGTGTTGTGTATTGCCCGCTCACTCCTTCTCTCCAGGCAGCCTCACATCCTCCCACTCCTCCCTGCGCACGGTCCTCCACTCCTCGGGATCCAACCAGCCAATGTAATTCTTGTCGCCGAACCCACCGATCCAATAAGCCTGTTGGACGACCAGTCTGGTCCACACGCCCTCGTGGGCCGCCCACTTCCGACCGGGTAACCACATGACGCTGTCCTTGTGTTTCTTGAGGAAGCACGTCTCCAGCGCCCGCGCGGGGCGGTCCTCGGCCGGAATCTCCTCCAAGTATCCCGTCAGACTGAGACGGGGGAGGTTCGCCAGCGCGAACGGCGCCCGGCCCGTCCGGTGGATGTACTCGTCCCACCAGCTCAGCGAGAGCGTGGCGTTGGAGCCGGCCTCGGCGTTGCGGGTCGCCGTGGAGATCTTGAGCGAGAGGATGGTCGGGTCCGCCGCGTGATGGGACTCCTCTTCGCACGTGGCGATGTACTCGGGGAGGCCGATCGGGGTGGACGCCACCGAGGGCGGGATGCGCGAAGAGAGATTTCCCGCCGTGGGGAACACGGTGATGAGGTCGCCGTGCGAGGAGAGGTGGAGGAGGCGGCGTGCGAGGAGGGTGGATTGGTAGCGTGAGGGAATCGAGGATGCGTCGAAGTGATCTTGATCTTGGGCTTGGTCTTTGAAAGCGTCAATATGTGGTTGGGTTTGGACTTGAAGTCGTTGCAAATCGAGCGCTGATGTGGATGTGTCTCCTTCGATCATGGGAGCACACGAGGCGAGGTTATGGCTCAGCGTAAGAAGCTGCACCGCGGCTAGAGCCAGGCTCGTGGATGGGAGCTTCATCTTGGGAGTTCAGCGTCCTGGAGCTTGGTCGTTAACCCTCTCTCCTCTTTCACGCGGGGTTCAATTCAGTGTATCCTGTCCGTACGGCGAGTGTCTCCTAGAGAGTAGAATCCTTGGTAGCGTTTGCGGGCTTCAACGACCGCAGCGGATATGAGAATCCCAAAGCTCGCGCTGCTGGGGTGCGTGGTGTGACCCAGGGCCTCGTGCTCGGTGACGGGGTCGACTTGGTAATTATGTGTGTGCGTGTTTGTATGGACCGTAGAGCCTACGACTGTAGCTCGTGGCGTGACTGGGTAGCTAAATCTCTCACTTCAGCAGGCTCTTTGGTCAACGAATAGACGCAGCAGGCATGTTGGACGACCAGCGCGGCGGCCGGGAATGAAATGGAAGGGGAACCACGCCCACGACACACGATTCCTTGACGATCGACCCCCAGCTCCTCGGTAGAGGTGCGCGTGATCTTATCTTATCGGGTCTGAACTGCGGTGTCGGCTGCTTTTGATTGGCTGCTCGGGGCGTGGCGAGGCTGGGCTTCGGCACCAGTCGCGAGCTATTGTCGAGCTGGCCTTGGCTGCCTCGTACGGGCGGCGCGAAAAGAGAAGCAGGCAGCGCAAGAGATATGGAACGGAGCACTCTGACCGACTGAGTCGCCGGTGGCCTTGATGGCTCTATGTTCCATAACTTACGAAGGCGGCTCCATGGATGAGGGTGGGACAAGGCTTCGACGTCGGGGCTCAGAATCATGACGTCTTGACGCTTGACTCTTTGACGGGGTTGACACGGTTGATCAGGTCATAAAGATTTGCGCTTTGAATAATGTTCTGGGAACACAGTCGGTGTGAGTATCACTCTTTCTTTCTCAGCTCCCTGGTCATGATGTCCTCGGACTCATCCTCCAACTCGTACGCCGCAACACTCCAGTCGCTCCTACCACCAGCATGTCCCCATCATGTCCTCTCTCTTCCCGTCTCGCCGTGCAAACCCCATGCACCCAGCCATACTATCTCCAATCTCTCCTTACACCCTGTTCTCGAGTCGGCTCTGCATATTCTAAACATGGATCTCCCGGCCGCGCATTTCCTCTTGCGGCACATGCAAGCTGCACCGGCATGGGAGGCGATGTATCTGCATGGGCTGCTGCATCGGATTGAAGGAGATTTGGATAATGCGAGGGCGTGGTACGGAGATGTGAAGGAGTCCGAGGTATTTAAGTGGGTGTGGGGTGGGATGGACTCTGGAGGAGACGACGCCTCACACCCAATGACTTCGCCAGAGGCAGCGTTCCAGAGTGCCATGTCTTTCCTCACCCGAGTCGAGGTGTACAAGTCCTTCTCCTTGTCAACAAAGTCCAGGTCTGATGCAATCTCTTCGGAAAAGGATGTTCCGGCCGAGGACGAGCTGGCAGAAATCTCTCTGTGCGAGATACGTCGCTTACTCTCGTTTTGCGAACGGAAATTCGGCACCAAGCCAGTGATGGATGCTTCGGACGTGTGGGTGTCGATGAATGAGAAGCACGCCGACAAAGCCACGCAGATGATTACTGGAGGCGAAGGATGGAGAACGTTTTGATGGGTTGCTCGAGATCGATGGATGCTGCAGAGGCTTAGTCGTCGTCCGTGGCGATCGTCATCAGGGTGGCGTCTCATAAGCAACCCAATTTAGGAACCGTGCAACGGTGCCACCTCTCAAGTATTCTGTGCACGTTCCATTGTCTTGACCACCAAGCCGGCGGCACGGCCCAGCTCTCCACCCTCTTTCCTGGCTGCCTCAATACCTGCCAAGACGGGGTCTCGAAAATGGCGGGTGAAGTTTTGTAATCTATCCTCCTGCTCGTCAAGGATCTGACTGTCATCCTCTGCTTGCGGACCAAAGAGATTCAGATGAGCGTATGCACTCGACTTTGTCGGGACGAGGAGTGTCTCAACCCGCCACAAGGGGAAATCTGTTACCAGTGAGTTCGGCTCGGAAGAAGATAGCTTGTCCGTGAGAAGACCCGCCTGCAAAAAGTCAGAGAGGACGTTTATGATGCGAGCCGTAGATCTGACGTCTCCAGCAAATGAAGCTTTGCTAGAGGCTGATCTCCATCCGAGAACTGTCGTAAAGCATTCCAGAGTTTGGTGCCAATCCCCCGGACATGATACAAGTTCCGTTCCCGCGATCCGTATCAGAAAGGATAGAAAGTCGATGGCCGTGGCACGGACATCTCGAGAAAGGTGTGTCATTCCGGCACGCACGTATGGTAGAGCCCTGCTGACATGGTCTCGGACGTCTTCTTTCGGCAAAGCGTGCGACAACTTGAGCAGCTGATTTCGAACTCCAGAGGAGCCGTCTAGGATGAGAGGAAAGATGCTGCCGAGAAGCGAACTGGTGGTAATTGGCAAGGCTTCCTCTGAAGAGCTTGATGCAGTGTAATTTGTCAAATAGGCGAGTGCATCTTTCCTTTGGACATCGGAACGTGAATTGAGCAGAGATACTTGATGGAGAAATACCGCCGATTGAGTTGGTGCGGCGACGTCGAGCTGCTGGTTCAGAACAATGGCTCCACACGTAGTCAGCTAGATGTAGGCTTGCTGGAACAGACGCCCTACCTTTGGCTCGGAAGCTCGTATCGGTGTGATTATCAGCCTTGGGTCGTGTCTTGCCGACTTTCAATTTCTGTTTCTGAGATGGTGTGAGCTACATGGTGGGCCATGTGCGAAAACGCCATCGAACCTGAAAGTCTTTCTTCTTTTCTCTCTTCTTCTTTGCGCTCGATCCCATCTTGGCGAGTCAAAGCCGTTCATGAAGGAGAAATTAGATGGCCGGAAAGCAAAGGGTGGAAGAATTTCTCCCGGTGGCGGCGGAGTGGATGCAAAATAAGCTTTTTAGACGTTCGCGGGCCGTGCCGCTCACTCATCGCGTCAATGCTGCAAGTGATTCTCGAATTTCAAGGGTTCGGATTCAGTTTGTAACAGAAACCCTCAGCTCGGGCGCGCTACCTTGCCACACTTCACGTGCTCCAAACTTCAAGTGCATGACGCGATTGCCTTTGACCTCCATTCCACGGCGACTCCTTTTGTAACTGGGCTCCAGCGATTGGAAAACAACGGGAAGACGTACGCTGGTGTTTGATCAAGCCCCTTGCAATACCAGCATCATGGCATGACGTCCTCGGCGGAGGTACCAGATGAGTGATACGAATCGTTCTAGAATACGACAGGATGGCTCATGCTGAAAGGGTCGGTATCCTTGGTCCAGTGTCGGAATCACTTGTACTGACCGTTACTGCTTAGGAGACGTTGAACGGCCCTTCCATCGATGCCATGCTACGCGGCTTGACAGAGAGACCAAACGTCCAGTCTACCCTTATCCTATCCCGCAAAGATGGTTCTATCATAAGAGCGACCGGCATTGGCCTACCGGAAGAGAGAGGTGATGCAACATCCGCAGGCTACCAGTGGTCGCAGGTTCCCGTGTCGGCTGGTGGTCTAGAAGGACCAGAGAGAGGAGGAGCGTCGATAGCGGAGAAGTCAGAGGAGTCTACAGAGGCCCCGCAGAGTGCAAGACCTGTCGAGATTCTGGCTTCGTCTATTTTTCAGTTCGTGAACAACGCCAATGTGCTGGGAAAGACTCTCGGGGCCACATCCCGAGGAGGGCCACGTACCAACGGAACATTCACGGCCAGTGCCTATGGAGAAGGCACAGATTCTGCAAACAACGAGAGAAGCTCTGAAGAAGACGCGGAAAGTGGTCCTAGCGAGGACGAAGTCCAGCTACTCAGGCTACGAACGAAACACCAGGAAATCATCATCTTTCCCGATCCAAATTACATCTGCTGCGTTGTTCAGAAAATGAGCAAGGCTGGCAATGCGCCCAATCGAAGATAAAGAAATTTTCTTGCACTTGGGGAACAAGTCGGGCGGAGACTCTCATCATCACAGGCATCATCATGGTCTTGGTCTCCCGGGGGCGGTTCAGCAGGTCGTTCGCGCAATCCGTTGCAGTCAAGGCGACATCAACGATAAGGATGGAGTCACGTTGGAGAGATAGGAATCGAATGCAACGCAACATTCACACGGGGAGATATCAGCAGGCCAGTTTCGAGGCGGTGACTGGATGGCCGACCCAATTGATGCCCTCGAGCCCGCAGTGACCTGCTGAATTGAGGACCTTGCCCCAGATTGTTTATCTGGCCGGCAAACGGATGCCCGGAGTGTTATCGCGGGGTCGTACACTTATCACCAACCCAGCATTCGTTTCCCTTTCTAGGCACTCGCAGCCTATGGAGTCGATGAACACAATCAAATTTTTGTTATCACTTGATCAGTGTTTGGATATGTATCTGGGGAGATGCCAGTCGCTAATCTCCTTGCCCTTATCATTTGCCGACGGAAAGTCTGGCACTACTGTACTTTAAAAGAGTCTCTAGTCACCAACTGCGCGACTTTGCTCGTGAGGCTTCCCTCGCCTGTCCTCCGTGCACGGCGACCGTCGACTTCCCACGCCGCGACTCGTTCGCGGATTTTGGGCAATAGCAACGACCCTAGGCACCCGTGCGGTTCCCGCCAGGGCGTGCTTGGCACTCATGAGTTCGTGCTGCGCCGGCATCTCAGCAAACCTGTCTCAAGCCTCCATCCCGCTTTCAGCATGCCACTTATGTCGCCCGACTTGGCCATAGACCACGGCAGCATTTTTGATATCTCGCGAGATCCCGAGCGGTTCAGCCGAGATCAGGTCGACTCAGTTTGACGAAATCACATTACTCACACGAGACGATTACTGTCGCAAGCGACATGCTCACGCATGCACAATCATGTTTGCGGACTTCGCTCCCCAGCTAGGAGGTAAGCAGCGACGCTGCACCGGAATTGGTGGCGGGCAGGAGCACGGAGAAACTCTCGTTAGCGTGGGGGGGTGCGACTCTTGATCCAATCCTGGACCCGTCGAGGCATGTCACTTCAGCCAAGGGTGCTAGCGTCTCTGGTCGTTGCTGCCCGTCAGAAATCTCCAGTCTCGCCAGCAATCGAGGATTCCATCCAACGATCGCGTTGTCTATGAACGACTGTCCACACCCTTCGAGAGAGGTATTACAGCAGTCGTTCGACTTCTCTTCACTCGACCGCCCGATTTGAAAGCCGTTGCTAGGACGAGTAACACTGTGGTGAAGTCTGGGAACTCGGGGATTGGAGGACTCCCCGGTTAGGCTGGCCGTGGAGTCGCCGACCTTTCGTCGGCCATGGACCGATTGGGGGCACGGTCCACACCCTCTGCTGGAGGCGTGCCTATGTGGGCCAAAACCGAAGGATACCTGATACGAGGTCCAGTACGGAGTAGAGAGGGTGTCGTTCGTGTCCCAACATGATGCTCCCACTTGTGGTGGGAAAAGCAACTAACATTGAAGCCAATCAGGTGAACCTCGATCTGGAAACTGAATTTGACACGGCCCATCATTCAATCCTCCTCATTCTCTTATTTGACAGAGCGACGACGATGCCGGGGACCCCGCTTACGACTTCGCAACATCACCAAGGCGGGCTTTCACCGGTATGCTGCACTAGACAGGTGTTTCGGCGAGGCCACCGAGGCCGCCTCATACAATGCTGACCGAAGCTGTCGAACACCCCCTTCCTCGTGCCGATTTGGCTCTGCCGGAATGAGCAAAGGGTCGCGAAAGAACTTGATGTTGCCTCTTCTCGCCGAACCCATGGGTCTTCCTCACGTGCCTTTACTGTCGCGTGTCCCAAAAGCACGAGAGGAAACGGTCGCAACTCAGGACACGCCCTGAAACCTCTGGGAACCCGTTTACCGCATTCGTGGACTCCGCCTCCTTCCGCGTGAGCGCCTGTTGCGAGGGCGCCATTTCTCAGGCGAGGAAGCAAAGGGACGAGGACGCGCCTCTCGCTGATCGTGAACGTCTACGGAGTAAGTGGGTGGCAGAAATGCGTTGAGTGGCTCGTGTCCTTCGAGCGATTCAGTGGCTTGTCACACTCGACGACCAATATCCACACCGTCAAACGATGAGCCTCGACACCGTCCATGTGAAGTCTGTTTGGGCATGCATTGTTCGCGCTTTACTGGGCATGCATTGTTCGCGCTTTACTGGGCATGCGGTGAAGTGCCAGTCGTGGTATCAAGGCCAAATGAAGACCTGCACACGCGATTGACTACTTTGATGCCAGCGTAATGGTGAGCGAGCTAGCGAGGTACTGTACCTTTCAGCAACAACGAGCGTTCCTTGGCCTCGAGTCAGGAGACGTTCACATATTTAAGTTCAATTTCAAAGCCACAAACTCCTATAACTTCAAGCAATATGGCGAACCTTGTGCCTCGTATGAGTGTAGACGTGAAATGATGTATTCAGGTACCCGTTCAGCGAGAAATGATTCGTCTTGCCCGGCACATCACTCTCGACGGACGACGCAGGGTGATCAGAACCGACTTGGGCTTTGGTCCTTGCGCCGGATCTCCTGTTTGGGATCATTGCCTACGTAGACTGATCGTCAGATCTTCGGACCCTTTTGGTGCTGGCAAGCAATGGGTGAACGGAACTTCAAAGCGACCACTACCCAGTAATTCAATCTCAATGTCCTGCCTGCCTTATCACCGGTTGGCCAATCTCGTCGGTGTCCTGCCAGCATCCAATGAACGAACTGCACTTATTGTCTGCAAGTGTCGACAATTAAAGTCCCGTCTACGAGTACAAGTCTCTCACTATTGATCAGCGCGATGGATGCGAAGATGTTAGCCCCTCTTGCCTCCCGTTTCTCGGCCTCCAAGTACGAGTTAGCAAGGTATCTAGCCATCCTCAAACGGAAACTGCCGTTTCCGGTCCAAAGGCCACAGCGGTCGGCAAATCCACCGTAGTATGGATAGCGCACACAATGTCAAAGCCTCGCAAGAAGGTACATGCACAAGTGGGTGCTTTTGTCGCGCCGCTAATTAAGGAAAGGAAGTGGTGCCAACAAGGAGAGCCCTGCACTGCCGTGACTCGAAAGCTTGGAGGCAGTAGGTGAGTGGGCTGGGACAAAGGCTAGACCTTGGATCGAGCAAGACTCGAAATATGTGGCATCCAGCCCTTTGAATCTGCTATTTCGAGCCACGTCCGACTCGATGAGCATTAACGGCACTGCTCCATTTCCACGCCTGCCATGTGGTTGAGCCGGTGACATTTTTGGCGGTGCCCTCACATCCTCGGGCCGGAAGTGGGAGATGTGCCGAAAAGAACGTCTCGGAAGCGCAATAATAATGTCATGGAGAGGCAGTTCAGAAAGAAGAGCAGCACATGCTTCGTTGAGCTGACGCGCGACATCCAGGGCACCGCACGCTGCTGTGTAAATCGCGCCCCACTCTCTGAAATGGGTTCGTGTGCATCAATGCATCATGGACATTTGCGCAGTGTCCCTCACGACGAATTGATCCTTTGGGCCTGTGCTTGGTACTCGACCTTCAGCCGCGGGAAGCTCTCAGCGATGGCTCTCACTTTCCGAAGCAGAGTGCGGCTCATACCGAATGAAGTAGTACAAGAGGAAAATCGCAGAACATGACAAGGCAGGCATTCATCAGCATGGTCTTGGGCTGCACCTCTAGAAAGTCAAACACTTGTGCGCAAGCGCCACCATGCAAGTAAGTGGGATTGTTGCTTCGTTCGGAGTGGATGGCCGGGCTAAAAGTTCAGCATTCTCTAGCTGCCGCTGCCTGCGATCCCTTTTCCGAGCTGCCGTTCCACTTGCGACCACCCTTACCACCGCCCGTCTCGGGGTTCCGTTCAGCGATTTAGCCGGATGAGAGTCTGTCCCTCAGCCTGATGTGCCCGACAGCCTCTGGCTTGCTTCCGGTTTTAGCAAGAGCTGGCACCGATGTCCGCCACCAGACTCAGTGGCCCAGCTTGTTGGGTCGCACATCTGCCACGGGAAACACAATTAATAAGATTGCAGGCGAGCACGAGGTTGGGCCCGGTGTGGTGAGCAGACACGAGCTGATGTTCTTGGAACAGGTCTTTTTCACATGAGAGCCCTGGGATTCGGTGTTCAGGAGCAGGAGCGGGAGCGGGATGGTGGGTGAGGATGTGCTCGCCCCCGAATTTGATCCTTTCGTCCAACGGCGATTTATTGGGGTACAAGATGTGCCGCGGTGAAATCTATGGGGGCCCGGGTACCCCTCCAGCGAGTGGGAAGTGGGCCATGTGGTTGTCGCATGTCGCAAGAAGCAATTCATTCTTGCCCTCCAATTTTGGATCTTTCAGCAGGCGGTGCTCACGCGAGCATGTCCACGACGCCTGGAGTTGCACTCCGGAATGGCAACCAGCAGATGATCGATTGCATTCGACACAGTACAATTTGTTGTCGGGGCAGGCCTCCATATCTTCAAGTACCGACTCTTGTCATCGAGCGCTGTGCCTGGGCCAAGGACAGCAGGGCCGCCGGCATCGGGTATTGGTGGACATGAGGCCCATACATGAATCTTGGTGGATCACGGTTGGAAATCGGTGGCAGGCTTCTGGACCACTTCGTTTTCAAAAGTTCATGCATAGAATCCATCAGCATCCCGACAGTCAGGTAGCCTGGACTCGCGCTCGTGCTCCGGGATCTTTTCGAGACGAGGGCTCCTCATCTTGAACCTCATCGCTGAGAACAAGATGTGTCCATGCCCGGGCAAGAAAGTATCTACATCGTAGAGTTCTTGCAGTCTGATTGCCTGGGTGTCTTCACCAACACGGCCATTTCGTTTCGACACGCTTTTGCCCGTCGCTTATGACCATTCCAGAATACCATTATTATTTCCCTCACTGCCGCCTCCGGTCGAGGTCGGCTTCCGTCACATTTCCCGAGAGGCAAAGCCACTGCGCGCGTAGACCTGCTTCGCGCGATTGAGCATGCACTACTGAGTACATGTGGTAGTCGGGTGGCATGGCGGCCTCTACAGACTTGACCAAATGGGTCAACTTTGATTTTTCATTATTGTTTGTATTACCATCCGCTTTCACAGCCGACGTGCTCGACGACGACCTGCAGCCTGCACGCGTCTAGACGTGCTCCTCGAATCCTGCGGCGTCTGGCCATGGCGACGAGAAGGTTGCTGCCGGAAAGCAGGACGCGCAGGGTGTCCCAAAAGTCACCCACTATGTACCAGTAGCCGTGTCCACCCACGCTATCAAGCCACCAGGTCGACGAGAGGTGAATGAGCGCGGTGTGACTGGCTCTGAACGAACCGCTTAAGATGACCCTGTTCACTGGATATGGCACTCACGCCGGGCTTGCATGATCCCTAATCCCACCGCCCAGCTGCCAGTGGGCGGCTTTTCTTTTACAGCTCCAGTGCTCATGCTGTGCACCCCGCTAAGCGCGCCCCGCCGAAGTCTAAGATCCCCTTCTGTTCGCCGCATGCAGGCCAGCAAGCAGAGTTCGCAGGCTTCCACGAGACGCACCGTTCTGCAGCCATCTGTCATGTCCATGGACTCGACCGCGGTCATTCTATCAAAAGGACTGGCAGAATGCCCGAGAACCAGCGGCTCAACTCGTGACGTGCGGGTGTGATGGGATCCGGCGAACGCCCAGGCCCTCGTCATCGCTGCTGAACGCTGAAGCCAACATACCCTCGTGCCGAAGAGATCCAGCGTGTGAACAAGGCCAGGCGAAACCGAGCCAGGCCAATCGATGGCCGCTCCGACGTAACTACGTCTATGTGAAATTTGTCCCACTTCGCGACTTACCCACCAGCCTCGCTGCCCTTGCCCCGTTTCTGGCGTGGGCGACAGATGATTCAGGCGTTGACCGGCGCTCTGCCGATGGCCTGCTCTCTGCGCTACCCAAATCCCTCCGAGCGTGCAGCGAGTCCCCGGTGGCATGCTTCACGTGAGATTTAAGGTGATGATCCTCTCGAGGACGGCGCGGAGTGCCTTCGGTGGTACGTACTGTATGAGATGAGCACCCCACGACATACTCAGTAGTGAGCCGTGAGCGGTGACCACCACTCGAGATGGCGGGTGCTACGCAATCGTGCTGAAGCCGGCGTTGAGCAGCAGCAGCAGCATCATTCAGAAATCGCGATGGTTTGAGCGTTCCGTCACAGCGGATTTTATTTTCTCCTTATCTCTCGGAGAATGCTCGTCAGATGCAGCTGGGCGGACAATCATTGCATCACTTCATCTGCGCTTTACGAGGGTTCGTCTCTTGATCGCCTCGCACAGGCCTGTAACTCTAAACGGCCTTACCCACTCTCGTTTGCGTGCGTGCAGCGGATTTGCAGAGAGCCAACCCTAGACCGTTTCTTGCATGCATCCCGCTCACCCACTTCCCTCGAAGCCATGTTCCGAGTTGTCGCCAATCCTGGGGGGTCGCTGCCCGTGCTCGTACCCAGTACCTCTGGGATTGCCCCTCGAGCGGGTCTTTGCGCTTCCATTTGCTCCAGCGCCCTGCACTAAACCGGCGCGCCATCACGCACCATCGTCTTCTTCGAACCCTGGCCCAAACTGCGCCCACACCCTGGCCACCCGCTCACGCCTCCCCCCATGCCCATAGGTTGCGTGCCTTTGCTGGCCTGCACACCTCCCACTCTCACCCTGCAAGCTAGACGTCGACGTGCCTTTCTCGCAGCTCTCTTCTTGCCGACCTTTTCCTCTTGTCTCATGGTGATGACACTACTGCTGCCACTGCCACGGCGTGCCCATCCTCTGTTACCAATTATTTTTGCTTCGCAGCCGACTACTCTCCCTTGCATCATATCGTGGCTTCGGTGTTGGTAATGATACCAGCAGACCTGTATACGACCGACCTTTCTTTGCCGTTGTCCTACCTCAGCGTGCTGCAGCACGCGACCCTGTCCCATTGGCCCCGGTGATGTCGAGTGCGGATTATGGTGAGCGTGGGGGAACCGCAGCTTCAACTGGTGCGCGCGCAGCCTCCGCCGTCCACTCCCCGGCCGACCACTCTGATCACTCTTCTGGACCTGGACCGCAGCCGTCTTCGAGTCTTGACGACACAGCTTCGTCGACCTGGTCAAGTAGTCTAGAGTCCAACACGACGGCCAACACTGCGTCCACCAGCCAGTCGCCCGCAAACCTGTCCTCGACGGCCACGTCCAACCTCAGTGCCCATCTTTCTCAACCTCTCAAGTCAACACACCCCAACCTCGGTTCCAATCTGGATCTCTCCACCGCGGACACGCTCGCTCGAAATGAGTTGCTGCTGCGGGACGCCGTCTTCCCCGAGTGGAAGGACGACACCAGTCCCTCCGACGTCGAGAACCCGGAGGAGATGCAGAAGAAGGATCCTCTAGGGACCCAGATATGGAAGTTATACAGTCGCACAAAGTCTCGACTGCCGAACCAGGAGCGCATGGAGAACCTCACCTGGAGGATGATGGCCATGAACTTGCGCCGTCGCGAGCAGCAGCAAGCAGCGTACGGGAACAAGATCCCCGCGAACCGCAACCGTGACGCACCGGGTACTAACAGCTTTCTCAGTGAAAAGCAGGCACAACTCAAGCGTCAGGCGACGCAATCGTCCGCGCCCAGCGGCATTGCTCAGCAGCTCCGCAAGTCAATCGACAAGGGCATGGAACATGGGCAGTCGTCAGATCCCATGAACCTTGACGACTTCATCGTCCCAAGCTCGGTTGCCTCGCCAGCAGGGGGAATGACTCCCGCCACAGCAGAGCCACCGGCACAGCCAAAGACCACGCCAGCATCTGGTGTACCCATCGTTACACGCGGCAAGCCACAGGTGCATATTCCCAAAAATCTGCCACCCTCGTCGCTGCCCCAGACATCGATACCTACACATCGAACGTCGGAGTTCGACTACGTCCGAAAAAGAGTTCGGAAGACGAGCATTGACGAGAGGAGAGGAGGAGTAAGCCACGGTCCTCTTCATGGCCCTCACATTGATCCTAATGATCTCATCTCCCAGAACCGAAAGCGCCCAGCGGACTTTTCTCCTCAGGTGCCTCCTCTGCCTGGCCCAAATGCTGGAAACGGCACTGAGATGGACACCGGTGTACCTGATTACGCACTGGATCAGACAACGGCGCCACAATTCTCGGGACAAACCAGCTTTCAAAACCCAATGTCTCTGCAGCTGGACTCGTTCAACCTTCAAGAGGACCCCATTCTGACGTCTGCCGGTCCTTTCCAGCAAAATTTCGCCTTCTCGCCTGCGGCTTCGCCCATGGTCAGCAGCGGACCCTTTACGAATGGATACCTCCAGTCATCCATCCCCTCGTCTCTCAACTCTGCCGACTTCTACTCGCCTCCCCAGTCCGGCTACCCGTCGGCTGTGTCGACACCCCAACCGGGTCACGACGGTGATGGATCCTTTTATTTTGATCAAAGTGGTCACACCCGTACCATGCCCTTCTATCCAGCCCACCGAGCGACGCATCTGATGGCGCCTTCCGCTCCGCAGTTTGGCTATGGCTCCAGTAACGAGCAGGTCTACTCCCTGATGAACGGTGTCGGCTCAGCCCCGGCTGCCAGCGGGTTTTCTCTCCAACAACACGTCGACCCGTCCAGGGTCCTTGTTCCCGAGTATGGACGGCGGATTTCGCCTGGGATTTCTGTGACCGGCAATGACAATTTGTTCCAGTTTGGCGCCGACTCGGACGGCGAGGACGACGACACCAATTTTGCCATGATCCAGTCCGAGTACGGTCAGTTGAACGATCCGGCGCTGGACTTGAATTCGGGGTTGCACTGGGACGCGAGCGTGACCGATTATAGCCACGTGCAGCGGTTTGGTGGTCCTGGAAAACAAGTGAGGATTGGCGGAACGGAAATGGTGAATTCACCGCCCGACTGGGGCTCCTCGCTCCTCAGCCGAACACATGGCTCGGCTGCATCGATCAGCGACATCCGCAATCGAGACCAAGATCCACGGAGGCAGAAGATACCGAGGACGACTTCGACGCCCGCCTTGACGAACCAGCATATGCAGTCTACGGTTAGTTCACCTGGAGAATCCGGCTTTAGCAGTCGACAACCGTCCAGGCCCGGCAGCCCCGGGCCTAAGAATACAGACCAGAACGGAGTGCCGACAACATGTACAAATTGTTTTACCCAAACCACGCCTCTGTGGCGACGGAATCCAGAAGGCCATCCTCTATGCAACGCGTGCGGGTTATTCCTCAAACTCCACGGCGTGGTGCGTCCACTGTCCCTTAAAACGGATGTCATCAAGAAACGCAATCGTGGAAGTGGGACAACTGTGCCCATGGGCCCCGCAGCCACACGAGCCTCCAAAAAGGCTTCTCGCAAAAACTCGGTCCAGCAGACACCGGTGACTACACCGACATCTGGCAATGCCAATAGCGAGCAGAACTCGGCGTCTCCGGCTTCGGTGCAGGGATCCGCCCATTCCGGTTCCGCGGTCACCACGCCCACGAGCTACCCACCTGGCATCACGGGAGGGAAACCCGGGGTCGTACCGATTGCTGCGGCTCCTCCCAAACCCCCTGTGCAACCAGGTCCGAATATGGCTCGACCAGTCCAAGTGACGCCGAAACGTCAGAGACGTCAATCCCGAGCTTCGACCAACACGCTACCGGTCATGGGAGGGAGTATGGCGGCGAATGAGACAGAAATGCAGGATGCGGGCCAGCCCACACCGAAAATCGCCCAAGCACCAGTGACTCGGTCCAAGGCAGCCAGTATTTCCTCGACAGCTGGGGCCACCACTATGGCCTCGGTCATGCAAGGTGGCTTGCTCAACAGCGGTGTCCACAGCATGACTGGAAGTGCGCACGGAAACAGCCAGGAGTGGGAATGGCTTACCATGAGCCTGTGAGCTGCTATGACCACCTGCCGCGTGGCTTGTCCAGGCCATGCACGAGAAGCTCTTCATTTCCTTCCAGACTCGACACGGAGACGAACGACATGATCTCCGCTTTGGTGTGTTGCATCTAGAGAGACATGTTCCTCATCCTTTTGCTTATACCACCGCCCGGATTTGACTCCAGCTGCACGACTTGATGACTACGCAATACACAAATCTCCCACATCCTACTGTCACGCGCTCGAGGCATCTGTTCGCTCCTTTACCAAGGACGATGTGCAAGCTGACGACTCTCCCTGCTTTGGACCGGGCTCTGGTATTGGGACGGTCGAGGATATTATGACGGGGGAAACTTGAGCATTTGCCACCCCATTTTTTCTGTGATTTTGTCGATTTGCAACACAATGATATCACCGCGTCTGCGAAGGGAGGAAGCTCGGAGATAGAGAGCCCCTCGAGCAGAAGTGCGCACTGTGGGTTTTCTGGATGTTTGGGCAATGAGGCGAACTAATGAATAGATACGTCGGCTTTGACCTCTCAACAAGCTAGATGGCTATGAGAGGCTGCCGAAAAGACGTCTTGTGCCGGGCTGAATGTGGCGGGAGACATCTGAAAGTGGCCTTTTCGCCAAAACGTCGAGAGGGGCCGTCGTCGTCCTCGCCGTGCCACGAGACAAGATGAAGTGGCCAGGCCAGGCCCGGCACTGGACATGAATTTGCCGCAATGATAGAGAAAGAGACTTTGAAAGTACATATCAGGCGAAATAGGTACCCATCTAGAATACACCAACGGCAGATCTTTTTGAGGTTTCTCTGCGCGATGCCTCTCACCGTGAGCGATTCTCCTTACCAGTAACAGTGGATGGATGGTGTTATCGAGGAGACGGCCGCACTTCTTGTCATGTAGGAATGGAAATGCCCACGCGTGTCCTGAAACTTGAAGCAATTCGTTGCCCGGATAAATGGTGATTGCTGTCAGAGCCATCATACTGTACGGAGTACCGGAATCCGTGATCAGACGCAAACGACGACCAAGGTTTGTTCAGTCACACACACGCACACAGCCATTGTTGCGTTCTATGTTTCCTACGGGTCGTCTTCGAGGGGTGGATACATTAGCACAAACCCATGGTGAGGTCTGTACAGCCCTTGCTTCTCCATTCCTAGCCTTGGTGAAAGCACAAACCATGGCAAGGTCTGTACAGCCCTTGCTTCTCCATTCCTAGCCTTGGTGAAAGCACAAACCATGGCAAGGTCTGTTCGCCTCTGTGCCTCTTCGCCTTTCGTCCCCAGCCTTGGTGGCAGCTGGTGGATTGCCCACGGCGCGGCGTACCCCTGACATCTACAGCTTTGAAGTCTGCTGCTTACCAGCCCTGAGATGAGCAATGGCCTGCAGAGCGCCACTCTCTCCACTCCGCACCGCTCCTTCCATATACCCTCGCCATACCTTGCTGAGTTCGGTGCCCACGAAGAAGACGTGGCCAAAGGGCTCACACAGGGCGTCCCATCCGTGTGCGAGCAGGCCGGGCGGCAGGTTCGCACACGGACAGCCCCAGCCCGAGAACTCCTCTTCCATCCACGGAGACTCGACCGCGTCGACGACGAGACCGCTGATGTCCCGACCGGCGGCGAAGACATCGCCGATCTGTTTGAGGACCGACGCTTTCTTGCCCTCGGCATCTTGCATGGCCCACTTCCTGCCGAAACTGCCGCCGAGGAAGCAAGTCAGGGCTGGCTGGTCGTGGCCGAGGCTCGTGTCGCGGAAAACGGACACGGGCCCGACGAAGCTCTGTGCGAGCCCACACAAGTTGTCATCGGTCCAGAACGCCTCGCGGAAGTTGACGATATACTTTGTGTAAAACCCGTAGCGCGTGCGGTTGACGATGGCACCCTTCGCGACTGGCAAGGCCGGGGTGAATTTGAGGGTTTTATACACGGGCGTGGGGATGGAGACGATCACCCTGCGAGCGACGTACGTCTGCGGCGTTGGGCCTCTCGTGGAGATCGAGACCGTCTCGTCTGAGCCTTGATGGACCTCGGCGACGGGGCTGCTCAGCTTGACTGATCCAGCATTCAACTTCTTGACCAGCCCCTCGGCGAATGCCGAAGTCCCTTCGCGGATCCGGAGATACTGGCCGCCTCCTTTGCCGTCGGAGCGCATCGTCATCAGCCCTCCTCCAGCGGCGCAGTCTGTCGATGCCTCGTCAATGGTGACCAATCAGGCGGTGGTGGTGGTGGCGGCGGCAGCGGCAGCGACTTACATTCGATGAAGTACAGGGCCGATACCTCAGACGGGTCCACGCCGAGCATGGCGTGAGTCCAGACCTGAGCGGTCGCCAGCGCCTTGTCCGTGAGCCTCGAACGGTGCAGGAAAGTCTCAAAGGAGATGGAGTCGAGATGGTCCCGGTGAGGGCCGGCCGAGAAGATCGATGGCGACTGTGTGGTGGATAGATTCTCAACCAGATCCCGAATCGAGACGCATGACTCCGTGTCCTGGTCCGAGCGGTACTGCTCACAAGGTCAGCATCTGGTTTTCGTACGGCGTCACGTCACGGCGCGCCGGCATCAATGACGGGCGCATCAGACCTTCGGCGCGTCGCCGTATGGAAACTTCACCAGGCTTCCATCAAAGTCCTGCACGACGACATGGCCCTTGGTGTTTTGGACCATGGTATGGAGACCCAATTCTTCCGCGAGCGCCCACATGCGACTCTGGTTGGTGTCGTTGATCCATGCTGCGCCCAACTCGGCTTTCGCACTTCCCGTTCCGCTCGATCGAGCCGTCAAGGTCCTCCCGCCGACACGATCTCGGGCCTCAAGGACGACGTAGCTCAGACCTTCCTGGTGGACGGTGCGTGCAGCTTGAAGACCCGACAGGCCAGCACCGACAATCGCCACATCGTATATCGGCTGGGTCATGGTGTCTCCTTGTGCTTTGCGCCAGCGAACTGCCGGCTCCGCTGCATGGCTACTGGCGCCTTGACTTTATAAGGATAGTTGATTAATGTACATCTTGAGGCCGGCTCTCGGTTGTGTCTTGAGGAGATCGAGGCAGCGCCCATCTCCGCCTGGCTGTCTTTCTGCTGCCACGAGTTCTCCACAACTGCGCGGACCTTCCTTATCTCACCCATCTGGCTGTCTCGCTTCTGTCGACTGTAGCTGGTCGACGAGGGCGGTGTACATAATCTGCACGGCGAAGCGATTCAGACGCTGGGCAGGGTGCGTACACTGGGCGAGGGTGTATATGTTTGAATTCGAAAGCGATGGTCAGCGACTGGAACGTGGTCACTGATTATGTATTGGGATATATCTACGGCTGGCTTACACCCATCAACATCGGCCCTACCAAGCATGGAACACATGTCTTCTCTGGTCAGATGTCCTCAGACTCGAAGATTCGATGACGAGGATCTCGCATACTTTGGCTGGAGGCCTTGACTACGACCCCCTCGACAAGGCTATCATGAACCCCCCAGCGCTGAAGCGACAGCTCAGAATGTCGCCCACTTGGATTTCGAATGCAAGGCGTCTGAATGCTCGTTGGGTGAACGATACTCGAATGTGATCAAACGGCTCACCAAATGGCGCCCCCGTGTATACGGATTCGCCCCGGCATGGGTAGGACTCGGTAAGTCAGTCATCTTTGCTTCGGAAAGTGTTCGCAGCCTCGCCGTTCAACATCATTAGGAGTGAATGTCGTCTGCCACGCCCTGCCCGATGGCGTGTTCCAAATCACAATACCATGACAATCAGGTCAAATGAAGAGCGCGCTTGATGAATGGCGCACTTTTTGAAAGCCCTCACCATCATTTCGTTGAGGCGGCTCCGATTAGAGCGGGAAACGATATACGGATGGTTCCTGCTCCTACTCTGGCTGCGGTCGACAACAATGTTCATATGACGCCTGCTACTGCTACTGCTGCTGCTGCTGCTACTGCTCCCAGTCCGACCCAGTCATACACTTCTCCCCACGTCACCGACGCCTTCGTGCAGGGCTGTTTCAACGACTGGCAGAAGGCTGTTCCGTTTCCACTCACCAACAACGGCGCTTTACCCACCCCACCCACGTCGCCTCTTCCTCCCTTCTCTCCCTTTGGTGCCAACATTCACCAGCAAACGACAGTCAATGAAGCAGTCGTTGAGACGGTGCCATCCCTAGCGGCCAACGACAACCACGTGGCGACCGTCCCCAAGGAGTACGCAGTCTTCATTGACGACGCGAAGGCATTCGACGTTGGGCACTTGAAGGAGCCAGGAACACATCTCAAGCAGATCATGAAGGCCAGCTGGCAGCGAAACTTTAATGACAACCAACTCAACGGCTGCGCCAGCTATCCGTCGCATCCATGGCGCTTCAAGCTTGGTCCGATGCCCAACTTTCCCTGTCCGATCCCAGGTCATGCTGTCCCTAGGCTCGCCGCTTCGCGCCAAAAGGAGGTGAGAGAGCACTGCATGGCGCTTTGGAAGGAATGCCCTGAAGTATGGGGAGCAAGTATGGGAAGCCCTGCTCGGCACCATGCTGCAAGAACGAGTGACACCCGACAATTGCTGCTCAATCACAGCGACAAAGCTGCGGTCCTAAGCCATCAGCCTTAGGTGACTGATCACTCGCGATTCGACGACATACAATTCTCTCAACGCCAGGGCTTGCCCTTAGCCCCTGACTGCAGCAGAGAGTTCCACTCCGCGCCTCCCGGTCAAGGGAACATGGGGAAACGCCTCTACAACGAGATTCATCATCTGGCCAGCGAGCCCGTCGAAGGCGCATATGCCTTCCGCACGCTCGTCTCCGTGTGGCTCGGCAGGAGTGAGGCACGATACACAACCTTTCGACGCATCGCGCGGAAGGCAGGCTGGTGCCCGCGCGACGAGCACGAGATGGTACGCAACTTCATTGTCGATGTCTTCCGAGGTCCCCATGCGCCGTTTGCGGGGCTGCGGGATGACGAGTCCTACCTTACAACACGGTATCCCCGGTTCTTTGCGGCGACGATCGAGGAAGAGGGCATTGCGTATGAACGTCGGGTTGTTGATTGATTAGGCGGGAGAAAGAAAAGAGTGTCGTGGATGCATCAAGGGAGCGGCACAGAACTATCCGACTCGAACAAGATGGCCGCCATCATCATCTTCCCCATCGTCTTCTCTTTGAGCCCTGATGTGGCATTGAGGAAGGTTGAATTGAAAAGCCGGCAGACTTGTGGTCGTCGGTTAGACGGCTCAAACGTCCCACGCCTGTGCATGTTCTATCGCTTCCTCTTTCATCAAAGTCGTTGGCACATGCATCTTATGCGCTTCAACATCGGCGCATACGAACTCCACCACTTATGATCTCGTGTGGAGAAACACGACCGAGCGACCCAGCAGGGCAGGTGAAGAAGGAAGAAATGGTGTAGTTGAGATCGGCACTTGGGCATTGCATTGACTCTGACTGAGCAGGCGTAGGGTACAGCTGGAGCAGAGTCAGCGATCATGGATGAATGCGAACGTGGTGGACCTACGAGCCGGGAATGGAAGAGAGGGAATGCTGGAGGTGAGATTTCAGGCTTGATGGCTGTGTGTGTGTTGACTGGATGCGTGTGCGTGTTGCTGAAATATGCCGAATGAATGCGTGTTCGTGTTGACTCAAGACCTTGTGCGTTTGGAGTGACTGACCTGAAACTGATGGCTGGCTGATCTTGGTTTCACAAATTCACTGTCTTCAAGAGGGGATTTCCATCCCAGGCATGAGCTGAGAGCTGAGAGCTGGGTGTTGACCGGTGGCAGCTTTCCCTACTGTGGCTGGCACATCCCAAGCTGGTCTCTCACTCAGATAGACTTCAACAAGACCTCAGATGACGTTTCTCTGCGTCCACCACGTTTACTTTTCCCTCTTTCTCACGTAAGTCCACTTGACCTTGAAATGGCATGAGCCCAGTGCGCAACAATGATCCTGAGGCTCAAGATAGGCCTTATTCGGGTCGCACGAGCCGGGTGACCAGAGAGTTCATCATGATCATGAATGAAGGCATTTCTGGCACCTGTTTGCTCTTCTGCTGCCGTCTCGAGTCCCGCGAGGCTGCGTCACTGAAGATTGGCCGAGGCTGCGGGTGCAGAATACGAGATTACTCCGATACTGAAGTCCGTATGACGCCCCTAACTCCGTCGCCCTTGCCCCTCCAGGCTGCCCCCACTCCCCCCAAGCGGGCGTTGTTCGGGCGGTACCGACAGCCCCCAGCACTGCGTCACTTCGCCTGGCACCCTGGGGCGCTTTAGGCGCTTTAGGCGCTTTCGGCGGGGGGATCTCACTCGCTACCAAACCCTTGTGTTCCCATCACGTCGGGTAAACCCTTGAAAGCCCATGCACAATTTCCTCAACCTCGTTTGTACGGCGACAATACCAGAGTGACGGGACTCTCGTTCTTCTACTTCGTACCTAGCCGGAGTTCGACCAGACTATCACGCCACGAGAATACGAGGCATGGCTTTCTCCATCTCCGTGGAGCATGCATTGGCGCCATCCGACTCTTGGCCATGATCAGCAATCATACCTCTCGCTCTGCCCGTTACACTTATGCACCTTTTCCAAACCGTCTGGTGGCACTTAGCCTCGGTCTGCATGAAGAATGATTGTCCGGGTGGCCCCGATTTGGCCAACGGCGAGCGAGCACAGGAACAGAATCTTCACGGCTCAGCGGACCCGATCACACACATCTTATGGGCTTGTGCCTGGCAACCATGCCCAGAATCCCCCTCCTACTGGTCGCCGCGTTATTCGCATTCGAGCGCCCTCCTCCAGACTAAGCGGCGATTTCCTCCTTTGAAGCGGTCCCGCAAGCAGCCCGCCAGCACACCGGCCTAACACGTTACGCGAGGATACTTCGTCTCATAGCTTGGAAAGCAATAGATTGTCCGCTGCTCAAGACTGAAACTCAAAGCAAGATGCCTATCGTTACCGGGCACTGCGGGGTTATACGAGACGAATCTTCACCAATACACACCTAGGGCTGGTAGGTTCGGCGTCAGCTCGACGCGCCCGTGCTAGTGGAAAGGTTTCTCATGACTCGTTGGCCCTGATCGTGACTATCGACGGGTGCGGTTGCTTTGCGGTCCCAAGGGGTCTCTTTCGCTCTTCGCATGTCCGGGTTCGTCTTTCTCTTCTGAGGGATCCGGCATAAAATAGATCGGTCGTCCACCCTCTCGCCGCGCTTCCAACGGTCCTTGTGCAACACTACGACTCTTGACATGTGGTTATAGGATCTATCCATCGTCGACGCTACCTCAAAATGGGCAGAGAAAACGTCGAATTCAAGACCTCGGACCGGGTTACCTTGAGGGGGTGGTTCTACTCGAGCGGCGACGCGGCTTCCGGCAAGGCACCATGTCTCGTCATGTCTCACGGCTTTTCGGCCCTCAAGGAAATGGACCTTGACGCCTTTGCCGAGTACTTCGTGTCGAAATTGCCCATAGGGGTGCTGGTCTACGACAATCGAGGCTTCGGCGACAGTGATACGGCTCCCGGCGAACCGATTCATGAGATCGTCCCGATGGTCCAGTGCAGCGACATCTCCGACGCCATCACGTACGCGGCATCGAGGCCGGACGTTGACCCGGATAAGATTGCAATCTGGGGTTCGTCATACAGTGGCGGCCACGTGCTCTATGTCGGGGCGGTGGACCGACGAGTCAAGGCCGTCCTCAGTCAGGTCCCCTGTGTCAGTGGATGGGACAACTTCAATCGACTCGTCCGTCCGGACTTTGCCGTGGGCTTCAATGCCACCTTCGCCGCAGGTACGGTCTCTCTGTTTCTGCAGATGCCCGGGGTATGCTGCTGATGAAGCTCATAGATAGGGTTGCTCGAGCTGAGGGCAAGGAGCCGGGGTACGTCCCCGTCGTGGATGCCGATCCTCAGAAGCCTTCGGCTCTGCCCACACCGGACAGCTACGAGTTTTTCTCGTCCTGGGAGAAGAAGTCGAACTGGAAGAACGATGTCACGGTCAAGACGTAAGTCGCCAGCTGGCTCTGCACCTCGCACCTCGCGCCTCGATCTGCCCCCCCGGCTGACTGTTGGTCTCGATTGCAGGGTCGAGCTCTTCCGCGCATATGAGCCTCAGCAACTCATTGACAAGATCTCGCCAACACCTCTCCTCATGACAGTAGCAAGCGGGGATGTGCTCACACCGGCAGATCTCGCTCTCAGGGCGTATTCTCGAGCAAATGAGCCAAAGCAACTGCAGCTGTTGCCTTGTGGTCACTTTGAAGCATACACCGGCCCGTACTTTGAGAGGAACGCCACCACCCAGGCGGAGTTCCTCAAGAAGTGGTTGGTTGAGGGGGGATAGGATCTGCACAGCCACGGGGGGGCTTGACGGAACGAGATCGTCCGTTTTACCCTGGTTGGTCGTTCGTTAGTTTGTTTATTTATTTCTTGAACATATGGAAACCTGCCTTGCCATTCAGTACGTTTATTTCTTGAACATGGAATCCTGCCTTGCCATTCCGCAACGTTTGGATGAATGTCTTTTCCCATGGCCAAATTCAAGCTCTTTGCCTGGCTAGAGATGTATCGTGCGTGTAACGTCCACGCTCCTCCTCCATCTGAGACCCGTATTTGCACTGTACACGTGTGCCTCACATTGCCGTCTAAAGCACCAAAATACTGTAGACGTGCAATGGCGTGGCGTGGCGTGGCGTGGCGTGGCGTAAGGAAGGGGAAAGGAAGAAGAGAGAATTGAGCTCAGAGGTGCCAAGCCTTTTGTCTGACCAAAAATATATAGCTTTTCAACCAATAAGGCTGCCTTCTTTGCTGGTACTGTTTCGTCAGACAGGATTCCATAATCTCGGTCATCACGTCGACATTCTTCCGTCCTTCAATTTTCTCCCTCGTCTACATTCTCACGTCGTCGACTATCCTATTCTGCCTACGTTTCAGGCTGGAAGGGTGTTTCGGTCGCTCCTTGTTCTCGTTACGGCGTTACGATTTCGGACCCATCGTAAACCCGTTCGTTGATGGCGTCACATCATCTCCTGCTTATCTGTTCTGCATGAAACCTGTGTTCGGAATGACTGCGAACCCGAACATTTGACGGGTTATCGTCGAAAGGCATCATGATATCAAGAAGAGATCCAATTTCAGCTGCAACCGCATACACCTCCTTGACGTAGGGACAAAACGTGAATATCTCTCGACTCTCGCAACCCTTGGATGTGTCGGGAATGCTTCAAGCACACCATGTGTTCCGACGCACTCGGTCATTTCCTACCGCGGTGCATACAAGACAGGCGGTCGCATCGAACTCCAGAAGATTATGGACCCAAGAGGACAGTTCTAGAGCCTCTCTTGTCCTCTTCGACATCGCCAACGACCGGGCTCCTTGCTCACTGCAAAGCGCCCACTCTGCTTCCTCGCCTCACAGCCAGAAGTCTTTTTCTCCAAACACGATCCGCGCAAGGTTGGCATTACATTACAAGGGAGTGCCGTATACGCAGTCGTGGATCTCATATCCCGACATTGAACGTCTGTGGGCAGAACTGGGAATCCCGCCAAACGAAGGCCAACCCAAGGGCGTACCACGCTGCACGTTACCCGTCCTTCTCGTCCGCACTGAAGCTTTCTCGCAAGCATCTCTCCGGCGACTCGATGATACAAATGTCCTGGGATGGCCGAAGAAGTCTCTTGACACGAAGTACGGCACGTTCACGCCACTTGTTTCGACATTGGAAATCGCCCATGCTTTGGACTCGCTCTTTCATGACCGCGATCTGCACCCACCTTTATTTCCCTCCGGTCAGTCCTACGAGCAAGGTCAACAGATGCAGAGCGTGATAACGCGCCTACTTCCCGCGACTCGGCGACTCATTCTCCCCTCTGTACCGGACATCCTCGACGCCCGAGGCAAAGACTACTTTATCCGCACGCGCATACAATGGTTCAACGTGTCGTCCCTTGACGAACTACGGCCGCAATCGCAGGACGAGACAGATAAGCTCTGGGCAGAGATCGAGAATATTCTCCAACCCGTCATCCGTACTTTACAGGAGTCTCCATCGCAGGAGGGACCATTGCTAAACGATCCTTTGACATGGGAGGACCACCGAGATGATCGAAGCCTTGGCAATAGCAGGTATGAGGCCGTGCGGAGGGACGCCTCTGCTTCTGCGTCTGCCCACGCTACTGCTCATGAGCCTGGAAGAGACAGTCGTCACGTCCGCTACCTGTCCGGCGCCTCCACGCCCACGTATGCAGATTTTATCCTCATGGCCTTTCTCGCCTGGATCGCCCGCGTCGATATGCACGCCTGGGCTAGGTTGACGCAAGACGTAGGAGGCGGAGTCCTAGAGGATCTGTGGATGGGATGCTTACCATACATGAGAAGCCATACCTATGTGAGGACTTTATCATGGTTCAAAGGCGGTACACCTGTTGCCCCGGGGATGTAGAGTAGTACGATATTGTAAGCTAGGACGTGTTTATCAGAGTCGGAGGCTCGCGGCAACGGGCATATGACATGGCGAAGCACCAAATGGCACATGCCGCATGGGCTATGCTCGCTCGATACTCCTAGTCCAACTTACTGCAATAGAACCCACGTGTAATTATTCTCCATGCCGACCGTTTCTCTGGATTCTACGGGTAAAATGACTAAGTAGCCCCGTATTACGTCGTCGTGTAGTCGTGCTGTGTGCTGTGTGCTGTATTGTCTACATAGTCCCTCCCTCCCTACCCATCTACTCACACATCTGACTCCTATGTCAGTCCTGCGTACCGTGTCCTGCGTACTCTGTATTTCGGGCCTCGAAGGGCTGAAGCGAAGGGGCCCGATGGGAGCAGGGCCGCCACGCCGCCGACTCACGCGGAAGATGGCCATGTTTTGCGGCCCCCTTACATGCGTTAGCTACATACTGTACGTACTCCGTTACCTACCTAGGGAGGTACGGAGTCCAGCTCGCCCAGCGGGGAAACGTGTGTATTCTGGATTCCGTCTCGAGTCCGAACCTCTCTTGATTCCCGGCGACTGATGGGTTGCCATTGCTACTGCTGCTGGCGTGCCCGCCGTGGTAGCTGCGTTCGACGAGCGGCCACATATGCGACTACTGGGTACGCCACTGTAGGTATGCACCACAATCCAGCAACGTAGGTACTTACAGTCACGCGGACCGAGGACACTCGCGAGGATGGTCGAGTACAGCAACCAAGTGAATTGTCTCCCTGTGCGTTTGATCGCCAGCACTACGGACTACGGTGATATACGTACAGTAGATTACGGGGCTGAATTGGGCTGAATGGAGCAGAGGGGGCCGCTCACCCTGCCGCGCTCTCCCTCTCTGTTTCCTCCTCTCGCGCGCTCTATCTCTATCCCTCTCTCTCGCGTGCACGCACGCTCGCTCATGCCTCTGCACGCTGTGCATCGGAAGTGATCCGGTCTCATCTGGTCTGACTTGATCCGATCTGACGTCCGCTCCCTTGACGATCATTTAGTCTAGTCCGCGATACGTACGGAGTATGAAAAATGGATATATACTTGACCATGGGTCACCAAATCGGATAAGTACAGTAACCACAACGGTGACCCGAGTTGACTTGACAGTCCATGTGTGACACGACACAGAGGCCGTAGGGATACGCATGCCTATGCCTATGCCTATGCATATGCATACGCATGCAGACAGACAGATTCAGTATTTCCCTCCCACTTGACCTTGCCAGCTCAAGACACTCTGGACGCCTCGATCAATATCATACCATATCATACCATATAATCTCGCATCATACAGAGTACGACCTACAGAGTACGACCTACAGAGTACGACCTACAGAGTACGACCGACACACTACCAGTACCAGTCCCACAACTAACAATGACATCTCCATCCACTCCTTCCCTGGGCACTCCTCCTCCTCCCCCAGCGCCCGCGCGCCCTCTTCAAGGCCGCGTCGCCATCGTCACAGGCTCGTCGTCCGCCATTGGCGCCGCCATCGCCCTAGCCCTAGCCGCGCAGGGTTGCTCCCTCTTCTGCATCGACGTGTCCCCAACGCCGCCACGGCAAAGTCAGGGGCAGGGCCAGGGGCAGGCGAAGGATCAAGGCCACGGACATGGCATCCACGCCAGCACCCCGACTACTAGTACCACGGCGCGCGACCAGCCCGGCACGCACGAACGCATCCGCCACCAAGGCGGCGAAGCCACATACCACAAAGCCGACCCTACGCGGGCCCGGGACATGGATCTCGCGATCCGTGCCTGCGTGTCCAAGTACCGTCGCGTGGACATTCTAGTCACCAACGCGAGTGCGAGTGCCGCCACTGCCGCCAATGTGTCCACGCGCCCGCTTCGCTGCCACGAAACCAAAGACGAGGACTTTGATCGCGCGCTGGCCGTCCACGCGCGCGGCCCCTTTTTGGCGTGCAAATACGCGGTGCGTCAGATGCTGGACGGCCAGCCGCGGCGGTACGCGCGGGCCAGAGGCTGGATCGTCAACGTCGCGAGTCTCCTCCTCCTCCATCAGGGGGTTGGTTCCATGGGGGCCGTGGGCGTGGGCGTGGGTACAGGCTCTCCCGGCTCGTGCGCGGGTCAAGCCGCGGCGGTGATGCTGACGAGGCAGATCGCGCTGGACTACGCGGCCGATGCCATCCTCTGTAATGCCTTGTGTCCTGGATTTGTGGATGCGGGGATGGGGATGGGCCCCTCTACGGGTACAGCTGGTACGGGCACGGGGAGTTCTACGGCTACCCCTTCTACGGGTACGGCTACTGCGGGCGCGATGGAACCAGGGACAGGCACAGCCACGGTGAATGTGAATGCGCATGGCCGGAGGAGCCACCAAACATCTGTTCAGCCTCAACCTCGCGACGACGTGGCGGATGTCGTGTCCGAGGCCGAGGATGACGACTACGACCACGACTACGACGACGCCGATGGGTCGCGGCACAGTGAGCCCAAGCTAGATCACCATCATCCTCCTCCAGCTTCCCCTCCGTTTGGTGGGAGGTTGGGGAGCGTGGAGGATGTGGCGCGGGCGGCCGTGTTTTTATGCGGAGACGACGCCGCGTGGATCACGGGCGTCGTTTTGCCCGTTGATGGAGGAGGGTCTCTGCTTCGATAGAAGGGATCGTGTCGGGAGTGATACACGAGGCCGTTAGAGGGAACTGGCCACCAGTCAACATAAGTGGATATCGAGAACATCTCCCCATGATGGGCAGGGAAAAGGAGCAAGGTCTTGTACAGTCATCATGGATTGGGGTTCTGTGTACCCGCTTTCCAGCGACATGAAGCAGCGTTCTGGCGCTCTGGCGCTCTGTTTGCGCCCCATATGCCTGCCGACGCCAAATGCCAACGCACAAGTGAACCCAAGCAAAAAGCACACCTCCCACCCAACGGGGTATCATTGTCGTCAGTCGTCACGTCGTAACCAAGCAAACAAAACAAAACGCGACACAACGCAACGCAACGCGAACAAACACAAGCAAAACAAGAATCACAAATTGCTCTTTAAGAGCTCGCCAGCCACCAGCTCTGCAACGATTCTCTTTCGTTGCAGAGGGATCATCTCTGGCCCATATGACATGGGCGTCAAGCCCAGCATAATCTGCCGGGCGCTGGTGATTGTGAAAACGCCACAATCGTCCATGTTGGACTGCATTGGGCTCTCTCCACGCTCAACAAACGTCCACTCCTCCTCCTTGTAATGGGAGCCCAGCTCACCAGCCAGCCAGGTCTTCACCGCTGTGATGTAGCGGCGACCACTCCCGGACATCGAGTTGTAGTGCGTTGCACTACGCCCCTTGCCCGAGACCACCAACAGCGTCCAATGGGCCCCGCTGTTGATGGGGATGAAGACCGCCTCGGTCTCCAAGAGGCTCTTCCCGCCAATCTTGGCGCGGGTGCCCCAGCGCTTGACACCATCGTGTCCCTTCTCCTCCAGATTGTTGAAGAAGAATGATGAGAACGCGTGGTAGGAGGGGACTTGTGATGGTCGATCGTTCTGTCGGCCATGCTTGACGACGAGTGCGAGGTATCCGTTGATAATCTCGTCATTGAGCCACCTGTCTGTGCCTCGATTGTTGCTGGAAAGGGGAACGACGCGGGTGAAATCGCTGGCTTTGAAATCGCCGTGACCGTACTGGAGAGCGTGCTGGATGCGACCTTCCCATTCCGCTGCAAGCTCGGCGATGTTGTAAAGGTGTTTTTCTTTGAGCAGAAGCTCACGCTTGGTCTCGGCTCTCGTCTTTCGAGTGGTTCTCTCAACCGAGTGCGGGGAGGCTTTGGGAGTTGGTTTTTCCGGGGTATGATATTTATCATCCTCGATTGTGAGCTGAGCGAGCTTCTTTTCGGGAGTCTGAAGAGCAGGATCGGATGGAGGAGATGATGACTTTGCCCCGCCGCCTTCGTTGTCGTCCGTGAGGTCAATCGGGGGTGAAGGAGTGCTCGTGGTTTCGTCGATGGCTCTGACGGGGGATGCTTTGTCGTCTGATGAGACTTGCTCCGTTGCTTCTGCCATGTTATTTGGTTCAGGAATATCACCTTGGGTGGCCAGGCCAGAGTGTGTATCCGTCATCTCAATACCATCTTCTGCTGGGGCAACGACATTGTCCTGTCTTTCTTCCTCGCTCTCTTGTACGGCCGGCTTATTACCGGTGGAGCCTTCACCCGATGACTGTACTTGTCCATCGCCAGTGTTAGATCCAATCGGTGCTTTGGTCTCATGCTCAGCTAGATTCTTTGACGCGGGGATTGGCGAGCCGCCTCCTGTGGTGATCATCCGAAACACGTCGGCGTCTAGTTCTGGGGAGGGCGGTGGAGTACCTTGGAAGAAGGAGGAAATCTCGCTCTTAACGGGAGATCTTACTTCGTCAAGGTGGTAATTGCCGGGAGAAATATCGCAAGTCGAAGAGATGAACGACTGTGCGGATGGTGGTGTTTTCCAGACCTTTGCCGAAATCTTCGAGCTTGGCTTCGGAGTGTCGTAGTTTCGATTCTTGAAGCGTGAGGGTGAGAGCAAGGAAGTGTTGAGAGGTGTCGGCGGTGCTTCTGCATCGGCTGCAGCCACTGCTGTTTGCACAACAATGGATGGATTGGGCGTAGGGGTGTCGGGTAAGTAGACGCTCAGACCTGCAGTCTGGAATCTCTTTACACCGTGGCACGCATTTCCTTCGGTCGCCCTCGACCCTTGGATATCTATGCGTCTTTTTCTCGAAGTGATGACAGACGAGACCACTGTGTTTCCATCCGAATCGCTTTCGGTGGCAGCAGAAAGGTTATTTTGCAGTTGCGCGCTTGGCGTAACTGACTCTGTTGATGTGACGGTGCCTGCGGGTGATGGAGGTGACGGAGGTGCGGCAGGACCTGGGGCAAACTGCGGAAATGGAGAATGAAGTCGGACGCTTCCTGCTTCAGGGAGAGGCTTCTGGACGATGTGATCTGGGGTTGGAACAGTGACTGATTTCAAAGTTTGTGGCGGAGGGATTAGTGGCATGCCAGGGAACGCATCCTTAAGACGTCTGCGCTGGATAACCTTCTTGGGTGTGACATGTTTGTTCGTTCGTCGCAAGAGGCGAGCAGGTCGAAACTCCGGGACTTCAAATGGAATATCTTCTGTAGCTACGTCTTCCTGAGTTTGCTTCTTTAGAGGAGTGACTCTGGCCGTTTCCTGCTGTGGAGGGGTTGTGGGAGGAGTGATCAAGACAGTTTCTGGCTGTTCGGGTGTTCTGGGAGGAGGGGTCTGAATGACAACACGTCGAGCTGGGCGCGCCGGAGAGATTCGATTTCGTGGAGCTTGTTGAGGTGGGGGACGGGCTCTACGAGCTTGCTGCATGTGTCTGACCTGTCGAACAATAGCATATGTAGGCACCGTGACAACGGTCGCAGTCGCATTGATTGTAGCGCGGATAAGGCTTGTGCAGACCCGTTTCGCTGCAGGCAGGACAGGAAGGAGGAATTCTTCGAGACGTGTTCGTCGGCGGGGCGGATCGAACAGTCCAGTGGTGCGGAATTGAGGGGTCGGTGGTTGCTGAGGCCATCCACCGGGCATGTAATCGCCTTGATATGGGTTGAAAAGAGGTGGAGGTGTCTGAGGCGCCCAGTCCATGAAAGACGAATCGTCAGCCATGGCTGTGGACTTGGGAAGTGAAGCTTGAGCTGGAGGTGACTAGATTCGAGGAAGGAGACAAAGAAGTCTGCACTGGTGAAAGAGTTCGACCAGAAGCTGAGATAGAAGAGGAGAAGCAGCAGTCCGAAGGCCTCAAGCAGGAGCATGGAACCGGTATGATGTGACTCAATCTGCGGAACGCTGAGAACGCCGTAGCAAGAGTCGAAGAAGGAGGACAAAAGGAATTATTCGAGAAAGTGAACGGGGCGATTGTCTCTGTTGTGGTGAAGATGAAGGATGGATTGAATCACAGAAGATGCGCCAGATGATGCAGACGCGACTTTCTCCAAATGCGGCCACGCCGTGATTGGCCACGCTTATTCTCCGGCGCCAAGCTTCCACCCCGCCAGCTGCGGCGATGAATATCCGGTACCGTCTTTGCTGTCTTCCTATTGACGGAATCACAGATGCTGTGGCCGCCTGTCAAAAGTACACAATCACTTACAGTTCATTCACCATGGTTTCAGCCCTGTCCAAGGAAAATTCATGCAGAAACAACAATTCGTGTCAATCATTGTGGTTTGTTCTAGTACTAGCATAGTATGATCAATACGCTCTCGTCTGATTCGACACTTATCGCTGGCTGATGCACGGCAGACGAGGGACGAGGAGGACTTGGTGGGAACTAGAACGAGAGGCTCTATTAACTTAAATATGGATTTGAAAGGCTGCACTAGGAGCAAGTCCACTGAGCTCAACCATGATTGCTTTGGTCGGATTGTGCTCGGGAAATATTTGCGATTGAAATTGAGGTAATGGAGGTGAAGCTGGCGTCCGTCATTATGAAGACGCGGAGATTTGCGCTCCAGTTCTTGACATATTCTTCCGAGTCAAAGAGCCAGAGAACATGAACCAATTTTGTCATGAGGGGTTCTCTTATGCAGACCTCCCATGTGGGATGCTTCCCCTATACGGCTCTCCTGGCAGGGACCAAGGGTATGCGTTCTGGAGGGGGCGATAATCGAGATAGTATGTATTTGAGTCGAGGCAGTTAGTGTCGAAAGGCCGGCGCTGAGTCTTCCATCGCATCTCTCCTGGTCCTGAGGTTTACTGGTTACGGATTTTGTGGAAGCGTGAAAGTGATTGCTTCTTCAGAACAAATCTCAGGCAGGGCAAATATCCGGGGTTGCTGCAGCAAGCCCTCGCATCTTTTCATTCGACAGCAAGGCCGACATGCTTGAATAAGACGGGAATACCTTCTATTGCCCACCAAGCGATCCCAGAGTAGACAATTAGTTTGGTCACCACTTCCACATCATACCTGACTCTAGGCCTCTGTATTGTCGAGAATATTCGTTGCTCCTGTAACTCATCTGCTGATGAGACATCTTGAGGATTGTGCTCTTTTCCAGCCGGTGATAGCACGGGTAATGGTGAAAGAGCTTCGACCCCGGTCCCCATCTGTGCTCTAAACATCTCGAGACTGCTTGATCTTTTCCTGCCCTGAGTTGTGTCCTTGTTTTCAAAATAGCCACGATCCGGGGAGGGCGAAGGCGAGACTTCTTCCTTGGTAGAACTCAGCGCCTCGGGCGCATTCAAACTGTCCCTTCTTTTCTTGTTGCGGTACGCCAGTGTTTCATATGCATCGGCTTCGGATTGAGGCCCAACAGATATCGCTCTCCGACGACGGAAGTTGGACAACAGTCCAGGAATCTCCCTCGCCTGAGGGATGATGTTGTCATCGTTCGGCTGCCTCGGTATTGTCTCATACTCAGATGCCGGCTTGAAGAACCGTCGGGGCAAGGTAAGACCAAATTGCTCAATGACTCGAAAGATTGGCGGAAGAATCCTGAGTAACGTCGGTTTCATAATGCCTCTCCATGCGAAAATGACAAGCACGCCGAGAATGATGCGAGCCACTAGAACCAGCCAACCCATCTTCTGGAGATCGAATGGAATGGTACCTTTGGTAGGTGATGACCAGGCGTATGATGTTCGCGCGAAGTGCCACCCAGCATATTCGCAGCCAATGAAGACACCAGCGAAGGAGACGCTGTCATCGAAACACGGGCAGTCATCGGCCGGCTCGGGATGAATACGAACCAGCACGAGAATGATCAGTATGACAACCAGCACTCTTTTCAGATCTCCTGTATGGAGCCAGTCATCAAATGTCGGGCCGTACGCAGCTTGCACCAGGCCCAGAACGGCCCCAAGGGCGCTTCCCCAGATCACGTCAAAAAAGCCGTGCATACCACAGTAGAGCCGGCCAAGAACGATGGAAACGGCATAGAAATAGGCCATGATTTGGAGGCCCAATTTGAGGTTTGGATCCATCTCGTTCGACTGATGAAGCAAGTGGAGAGAGTAGACTGCAACGGAAACGGCATTGGTGGAATGTGTAGATGGAAAGCCGTACTCAAGGGCAGCGGAACCGGACATGGTTATCCGGGTCAGGGGAGGTGACAAGGGACGCGGGAGACATAGGAGGTCCTTAATGAAACCGCTGAAGAAGACGCCCGAAGCTAAAACATGTACCATCCTGTCCCGACGTCAGAATCCCAGTCCGAGCGCATATTGGCATGTACATACGCTCTTCCCAAGCGTGTATTCCCACACCAGAAGAGTATTGGCAACATGATCATGAAGAATGTGTGTGTTCCCAGATTGGCTGTAAAGGCAAAGTAGGTGTCAAGGGCACCGGACCGTAGGGTATCTTGCAGCCACGCAACATACGGGGTCTCCCACCGCACAATCGGAAGGAGCTGTTCTCTGAACTGGTACCGCCATGGTGGCAGTCTGAGCTTGTCTACAGAAAGAGTAAGCAAGATGCAGCGGCGGTTATCGAGGGGCGTACAATGATCGAGAGACCTCAATCCGGCGTCCGGTCTATCTTTCTGCTTCTCCATTTCTGTGTGTGTGGACGTTAGCCGAGGACGCCGTCCATCGAGGCCGACCGTCGGCCACAACAGGTGCTTGCTCCTTCCAGCGCGGCATCAAGATCCAGCGGAAAGGGTGGAGCTGGCGTCAACTCGACATGGCGTATATTTTTGCTCCAGATTCCGTTGACAAGGTGGTGGTGGGCAGTTCGGTGGCTGCGCAGGGAATAAGTTGGAGATGCGCAGTGTGCGACCTATCTCATTTGCCGGGGTTTCGACTCGTATCAGTCCAGCAGAGGCGCACCACATGGACTACGCGAGAGAGAGTCTTGTAACATGGATATTCCCTGCGACAGAAGGATGCCGACAGGCCGCAGGGTCGCAAACGCAGGGGAATCGCAGCGCAAAAGAGGGGCGCTGCTCGTGGCTGCTGCATCAAACATGTGTTTCATGGGGGCTTTCGCAGTGTTACCTTTGGCAACCACCATTGTGGCGGGTGTAAACATTGAGGAAGGCGCAACTCCGCCGATGTCATACCGTGATCGTGGGATATCACCACGGAAATCCTTGACACAACACTTGTTTTGCCAGCATATGCAGAATTCCACAATCGATAGTCCGCATATAATACTGCCGCACCCGTGTAAATACAGTCTTCCTCACGCATGTTGCGACCATAGGCAGCTGAACGAACTCGCACTTCACCACCATGGCCGACACCGATCATTATCCCTCACGAACACCCACCATGTCAGAGAAGACCCCCTCATCATACATTACACCACCGTCGCCGAAGAGAAGACCGGTTCGGGCTCCCAGCACGCGGACGAGTAACGGCACGGTCAGCACAAACATGAGCTACGGCAGCATGGGCCGGCTTTCGGATGCCACCAACATTACTCAACCGCCTTCATACTCGAAGAAGTTTGTCGTGGTCGGTGACGGAGGCTGCGGGAAAACATGCCTGTTGATTAGCTATGCCCAGGGTTATTTTCCAGAGGCAAGAAAGACGAGCCCTTTACAGGCAGGATGAGCGGCTGATCAAGCGTCCACAGAAATATGTGCCGACCGTGTTCGAGAACTACATCACTCAGACCTCACACAAGCCTTCAGGCAAGACAGTCGAACTTGCACTATGGGATACAGCAGGACAAGAAGAGTACGACCGACTGAGGCCACTGTCATACCCAGAAACAGACCTTCTTTTTGTCTGTTTCGCGATTGACTGCCCCAACTCCCTGGAGAATGTCATGGACAAGGTACGGCATGTTTCTGCGCTTGCCAGCACGCCTGCTCACTCTGCTGCAGTGGTATCCCGAAGTCCTCCACTTCTGCCCGACTACTCCTCTCATCCTTGTGGGCTTGAAATCAGACCTCCGGACCAAGCGTACCTGCATTGAACTCCTGCGCACCCAAGGACTCACACCTGTAACACCAGACCAAGGAGCTGCGGTTGCTCAACGCATGGGCGCCAAGTACATCGAATGCAGCGCCAAAGAGAACAAGGGTATCCAGGAGGTCTTTGACCTGGCCATCAACACCGCCATTCAGATGGAAGAGGAGAGTTACGAGGCGAAACCGGACAAGAAAGGCGTGAAAGTCAAGAAGGCCAAGAAGAGGAAGTGTGTTTTCTTATGAGCCAGGGAACAAACCCATGACCCCTTCATTTCGACCAGGACACAATATCGATTTTTCACGACCCGAAGTTTGGTTTCTGCCAGCTTGATGGTCGGAGCTTGGGTTCAATTGACTATGTATGAGGTACGCATATGTGTGGATGGCGTTGGATGCATGAAAACTTGCATCATGAGGCGTTGTAACGAGACATTTCTGTTTTTCAGGATAGACGCTGCTGCTCCTCCGGTGAGCATTGCAGCCACTGAATATCCGGTCCGTGCAAGTAGCCGGTTCGTAAAACTGCCCAAAAGTTCAACACATCACAATGATGGCACTTTCTTTTCCCAACCCCATTTGCCGCATGTCATCGGTATGCCGTGAGCAGAAGATGTCGTGGTGCTCTCGGTCTCGTGCCTGCTGCCGGATTTACCATGAATGTTCCAGCTTATAGTTGAGCATCCAATTCGTATCCCGGCGGGGATTCAAGATGATTCGCTCAGCAGTGGGAAGAGCCTTTGACTACGATTGAATGCTCGTTGCGTCGAAAAGCTCGCTGGGCTACCAAACCTTCTCATCTCTCCGACCCGCCCGCCTCTGCCTGATGGTTCGCACTGCCGCCTCCTGTCGGATCTGACGCGTGATTGTGGTTGTGATTGTGATCGTGGTTGTTCGCGCCGTTTGGATTTTCCTCTTCCGACCGGCCCATGACGGTCTCGAACTGACTCCACAGAGCCTCGACGCTGGAGAATTCGTTCCCGATCTATTGATATGTCTCAGACATGTCAACCATACCCGGGCGGAAGCAAGCGAGCCAGCCACGAAGGCATGACACCGCATGACAAGTACCCAGCCAGTACCGAATACGCGTAGCCGTGCGCGTACGTGTACATGTATGATTGTGGACGGACGGGGAAACCATATACGTACCTCGATGATGCCTTCGAGGCTCCGGTTCAACGCGTTCATCTGCGCGAGGACTTGTTCTAGGGACTGTTGGCGTCGTCGCCCGCGTAGGGGGCAAGAAGTCAGTTTACCAAACTACCTAGTTGGGAGGGTTCAACGGGGTCATCTTTTCGTGGAGGGTGTTCATAGATATATTCCCACTCTCATGGAACGGGGCATGCGCACTGCATGGAAGGCGACACAGCAGAGAAATGAGGGGCTTTCCCTCTTGCTTCGGTGTCTTAATTTCGCCGGTCATGCTTACTTGACATTCTCCGATGATATGGTGCTCCAGGTGCGCAGGGAGGGAGTGGGCAAAGATGCACTGTAATCATGTCTGGACTCACCTCTCCGATTTCGCCCACCAGTGCGGCGCGGCGGAGTTCGAATTCGCTGTGCTGGTGCGTGGCCGCTGACGCCGACGCCGACGCCGACGCGTCGCTGGTCAGGTTGGTATTCGATGTTGCCATGCTTGTTCGGTACCTACGCGACTCGAAATGAGGATAACGGACGCGGTGTGCTCGTACTAAGTACGAAGATATGATCTGACGCGTTTCCAAGGGTCCCAGTCACACGATGGCGATGGAAAGGTAGCACAGCACTGCTAAATTACCTGCTAGGGTTTGGAACAAGGAGTGGGATGGAATTGGTTTCTATGTAGGAGTTCAAGTACCCAGTGTGTACATTATGTGCAATACGGTGTATATAACGCCACACTGTATGCGGCATCTACGCGTTCTTCAGGCCGCGCTCAATTGAACCCCGCGTTGGGGCCCCCCACCAACCGACGGCTCAGCCTTAGGCTCATCTAGCAAAAAGGGAATGAAGAAAAAGAAACGTTTCTGTTGAGAGGAGTGGGATTCGAACCCACGAGGTTTCCCACTGCGGTTCATGTACAGAGACCTAAACACAGCGCCTTAAACCACTGGACAGGCGTTAGCATGGGTGGTAAAAGAAGGATAGAAGATATGAATTACCTCGGCCATCCTCCCGGGAGAAATTAAGGTCGTTTTCGAGATGTTTAATTTATATCAGCTGATTTATTTAAGGTGAGGGACTAATCGTATCGGGCGTCTCCGAGGGGCGCAGGTGACAATGCTAGGGAGAACTCTAGTTATGCGCTAGTTAGGCAAGTAGAGGACTTGGGCGCTCCTGCTGCTCCCCGATCATGGGGTTCCGCGGCGGTCTTCGGGGTATGACTTCCCCCGGGCTACTCCGTTCAAGGCACAGCGAGCTCGAATCTCCTGACATGACTCTTTTTCCTTGAAATCACTCCTACGAGTACGTGCTGCTCCGTCCTTGCTCACGGAACATTAGAAATTCCCGAGAAGAAGAAGTGATTCTAGAATGTCAGGTTCTTAATCGTTACTCGTTTGTCTATCGTATACGGTTCAAGTGCTACAGAATTCGGGGATCACTGGGTCTTTCATCCCAAGTTTCTCCATCTATTAGCGTACTGTCTGCTGGTACAACCGTCCCGTGATCTCAATGATCGTGATCCTTCGATGGCCTTGTGACCTCAACTTCAAGCGTCTGCTCGGCTGGAGGGATGTCCTCACAGAAGAATCGCTCCATCCTCGACAGGATTGATCGTCATAGGCCTGCCGGAAGTGCTGTCTCGGGCGTGTTCTTCCGTCCATATGCGGACAGTTTTGGAGCCACGATCTGCGCAATGGGGGGTCACTTTCTGCCCATTTCTGCAGATCGACGCTGGCCTTTCCGGAAGCTGCACTCTAATGTGGCTAGAGTGGTTCACCATCAGAAGTCTCTTTTGTTTGCGGCTCAGAACGCAAATGCCGGACCGTGGCTGATCTTCATCGAATCCGGGTAACGCAGCACTCAAAGAGTCCCCCAATTGGTCCCAGGCCTCGAGGCACCGAGGCTGCGGCGAAGCGCGGGTGTCTTTGGGAGCGGCAAATCGCGTCGACGTGCCTGATGAAGTTTTTGCCGCCCGGGACGGACCTCGCTTTGAGAAACATGCAGTCTCCCCCTGACAAGCAGTTCGCTTTGGTCCTTATGCGATTTTGAATTGCTCGGGTTGCAAGAAGGAAAAGGCGAGAAACGCGGGGCCGATCAGGACCAGCTAGTCGTCCTCGCGGTGCTTCCCACAAGACGATGAGCGTTCGTTATGCCGTTGTTGAATGCAAGTGTTCGCTAAGAAAAGGCTCTTTTGGTGGTCGTCAAGGGTATGGGTCATGATTGTTGCTGTGCGTGCTGTTCATCTAGTGTTTTCATGCTCGTATGTCGTTCGCCCGGGAGGAGAAGAAGGCTTGTCCTCACTTCTTGCCGCCTGACAAGAGGCGAGAGAGCCGTTTCCGTCTGGGCTTCTCCTCAACGGGTTCGCTGTCGCCACTCGACGAACTGGTGCTTCTTGAGCTGGCTTCGGATGATTCTCGACTCCGAGACATGTTGGCGGCGCCTATGATATCTTCCAGCCGGACATCATCTTGAGGGGATGTCGTCTGATAACCCGGTTCGAGGATCTCGGTGAATTTGGAAGGCATTGTAACGAAAGTGCGGCCGGTCCCGGATAGATCGAACAGTGTTGTATGCTTCTTGCAAGTGTTGCTGAGCGGTTATCCGAGAACAATATCCTTCAAACGAGTGTCAACAACGAGGGTCAAAGTGGAAGGACGGCGAGTGTTATACTGATGGAGAAGGAAAGGGTCGGGTTCTGGAGCGGCAGTCTTCATCTTGTTATGTCTGTCCCTTTTCGTCTACGGCACACGATCACGCTCCCACCTGTTCAGCAGAATTTGCTCGCGTCCGCTCGCCCCCGGCCAAGCGGTTGGAAACCCAATAAAGGGCTTTGGTGGCTTGGGCGCCGCTTCGTCATTCCCCTCCTCCGTAGACTTCCCCGGCATGGAAAGGATCGGTGGTCCCAGTAGTCTGGCTAGACCTTCGAAAGTCAGAGCCGAGGCGGGACCTCTCCATCACAGTGGAACCCAAGTTTTTCAGGGTCCAACTGTGGCGCTCGTGGCGGTCCAAGCCTCATCAAGAGGTTGAGAGCTCTCGGAGATCGACCGCCTGGAGCTACGCATAGCAAGGAGTATTCAGGGAACAACACGTGGCCACGGTAAGAGTTGCTTCATACCATGGAGAACGCACGAGTGCTCGTGCTCGTACACAATCAAGCCACGTCGGCAGTAAGAAGATCGTCCACAACGCACAAGATCTGCCTGCTAAAAGGTCTCATGCGAGTGCCGAGAGCGTCTGTCCACGCATCTCGCGTCTCGACAGCACATAGGAAGTGGCTAAGCACTGCATACTTAGGCAGACCGAATACTGACCGGTTGAATTGGCGACGAAGCATCTAATTGCCTTGCCTTTTCTGGCCCAAGTTTGCCTCCTCGAGTGAAACCCCTCGAGTAGCCGTCCGTGGGCGCCGTGTTCACGAACTGCGTGAGCCTATTCGGCTTTCACAATGGCTCTTTGTATTTACGGAGATCCGGCGACCTTTGACTGCCGTATACAGTATTACTTTGGAACAAGGTTGCTGTCTACTGGGGTATTTGTTTGTTGATGGTACGGATCCGCAGGAACGAGGGGGCAAAATTGTTGTGGCACTTGGCTTCCGGCACCTAGAACACCAACTCTGTTCTACCCACGCGAGCAAGGCTGACCTGCATCTTACGAATACTGGGTACTGGCTTGACAGCGACTTGTTTCAGCTGACTGTGATCTTCGTGAACCTTGTGAAGCGACGGCAACAAGCGGATGACTTCCAGCCAAGCTCGCTTCGGCGTGGCAATAATGCATCAAGCAACTGTTGTGAGCTTGATGAACCCGCGCTGCATCCTGCCACTGAGCACCACCCAGGCGTTCCGTTCCCGCGTGATTGCGTCAGTGACCTCATCGACGATCAACCAATATACTTCACATCCTGGGTGGAGCCTGTTGCTATCTTGGACCACATTCATGACCAAGCTTCTAGGGATGTAATGCTTCACCATCATGCATAGCTCGGTCGTTGCGGGCCCCAGTAGGCGCCAGCAAAACAGGCGCCGGCGTGCCCATCTTCACTCATTGGGGATATCTGATTCGCGATAGACATGATTGCGGCCTACAGCTCATTTGAACACGTCGTCCTCTGCAGAATCTGCCGGTTGGTCTATCTCAAATGAGTTGGCCACGGGTGTAATGTCAGTTTGCTTTAAGGCGACATCTTGCGCACGTCGTTCAGAATTTTCTCGTCCTGCATGTTGGCGTGTTCAGGGAGTATGAAGCAGGCGTGGCGCATGTGCGTCGTCAGGGATTTGCCTTGGTGAATGGCTTGCGGTTGTGCCCTGGGTATCCCTCGAAGATCGGTGCTAGTGGGCTAGTCCTCCATCTTGGTGTCGGGCCCTTCTCCGTTCATCTCGACGCCCTTCGCAGCAGAGATCCACAGAACATTGTTGCATCTAGTTCAGCCAGTTGTCAGCCATTTTCTCTGCGACTCAGCTTCTCTGGTCACCGTACCTGATAAGAACTTGGCCCAAAGTCCCGGTGTGCTTCCTGTCGATATACTCCTCTGTGTTAGAGAGCTGGATGTTCATGTACGAGTCGACGCTGATGAGGCGGCCCTTGTATTCTGTTTGTCCCCATTTTAAGCGGATGATGACTTCCTCATTGATCCTGGAAATAATGGCCGTTAGACGTTCTGTACTATACTTGTAGAGAGTCCAATATCGTAGGTGGTTCTGGCGCATCACGAAATGGGGGGTGCAGGACGTACAAGCTCTGAAGCAAAGGCCTTGGGTTTAGAGGAGTGAACTGCAACAGATTAGCTGCAGCTGCGCGAGAGTCGGACACACAACCTACATTCATGATGTCGTTCGACCTGCTCAATATTCAACTGGCTCTAGACAGTTGTTGCGATTCGAGAAAAGTATTGTGGTGAACGAAGGCTTGGAAGTAATTGTGTTGCACGCGTGCCAGCCGCGTACGATATTCGCAGCGAAAAAGTCACGCCAAGCCAAGTCACCGAGCAGGCAAGGCTGGCGTCTAGCCTTGCCGTCGTCACCTGCGCTTCTCGACCGGTCTCTCCGTCTCTCCGTCTCTCTACAAGCATGATCATGCTCGCCTTATTGCCCACTTGATATCCTTAATGCTCACTTCCTCGCCGGCTTTCTCGTCGTAGTCAAACCATTCTCCCTCCGACAGGTCAATCCCGTGGAATTTGGTCCCTGACTCGACCCCAGTAGCCTCCCACTCGCCCTAGATGCCGAGTCAACCGCACGCCACGAAGATCTTGAACCGACGCATCACGTACATCTGGCTTGAAGTCCGTAAATTCTAGGCCTCGGCAGTCGATCTCAATGAGATTCTTGGCTTTTGCAGGCGAATGCTGCTCGTACTTTGCTGGAGCTGCCTTGATGGTGGCGCTTGATTCTCTCTAAATGGTTTAGAACGCTATCAGCAAATGACAGGCTTTCGAGTAGCATGAAAGAATCATTAGTACGGAGTACAGACCTTGCAGTTCTTGCACTTCCAGACAAAGTTTGCTTCACCCCGACTGCCTGACTGCTCATTCATCTCCTACAATCCCTGGATTAGACGCAGGCACGTTCGAGCCATTCTGGAAAGCGCTGAGATGGCCGCCGCAGCAATGCCCATTCCGCGGCGGGACAGCACAAACTCGCTGCTCCCAGCAGACAACCAAAACGCCGAACTCAGAGCAGACTTACATGACGACTGACGCCGACCCAATTGGCATGAATCTCCCGACACGAAGTGCACTGGACTTTGAACGTGTAATAATAAGGTGATTCAGCTGTGTCGGACGGAACGAGGTCGGTCACGCTGGCCAACGATCAGTCATGGAAGGAATTGATTAGGGGTGTTCTCCAGATGTACCCTTCTAATTCTGCAGACAAGGTCAATGCTAGCATCTTGGGAACTGGGAGTCAAGGCAACTAGGGCGACCGTTCGTTTCTAGCTTCGCAATCTTGGTAATTACTGCCTTGTACTAGTGAAGGAACGTGGATGTCTCCGTAATGGAGGAGCCAACGCGGTCGTGATAAAGACGTCATTTGAAAATCCTTTGGTGCATCTTTGTTTGTGTTGTGAAGTCTTAACTCAGTCGATCCGTCAGAGTCACCAAAGTTAAAGACAATTGCAGAGGTCATTCGGATCTCTCTTACAACGCGGCAGCAAAGATCTTGGATATCGTGTTCCATTCGTATCGCGATCCAGGTCTGAGTCGCTGGTGATGGCGCCGAAGAAGAAAAAGAAGCCAGCAGCGAATCCCGCTCGAGGCTTCGCCACCACTTCTCTTCCCTCCAAATCGAAAGTGATCGCCGAGCCGGACGATGCTTCTGTCGCCGATGACCGACAGTCGCGGGCAGCAGGCGGCACCGCGCCCGTTCATGTGGGTGAAGACCCAGGAACTACCGATGGAAAGCAGCCTACAGATGGCGTACAGATCCAAGATATGACTCCCGAGGAACTTGAAGCCCATCTGGAAAACTCCGAACTAGAGTCAATGCTTGATAAGTATTGCCCGAGAGTTCTCGCCGATGCTCGGCGGCAGGTAGCGAGACTTGAGGCTGAACGGCGTCAACTGCGCCTTCAAACACAGAAACTGTCCACCTACAACTGGCTGTCAGAAGAGGTGACTCGTGAGCTGTTTGAAATGGCGAGTGAGTTTGAACACGGCACATCAGCTGCAGGCCGTGTCAAGCTCCATGAGATTGATGAGGAAAAGCTCGTCGTGGATCTGTGGACCTTGGAACGAGTCTTACGATCCTTGAACTTTCCAAAGGTGCCTGAAGCCATGGCTTACATTGCAGAACTTGCTCTTTCGAATCGAGTGACATCTCTTATCGATTCTGTGCCAGGCTTGGCCGAAGCGCTGCAATGGTATGCCGGCAATACTCAGTCTGACGAGCTCACCAACTATGAGCAGACAAGTACCACAAAGACCGAGCGGAGTGGTGGAAGCACTCCGGCTCAAGCATTATCTGGTGAGTCAACTGCTTCGCGGTTCTTCCAACAGCTTTCTCCTCGTAATTCAGTGTTTGAGAAACCCATGAACGCCTCCCCGGGCCTTTTCAGGAGATGAACGCCCGGGATGTGGAGTGGGAACCACTAGCGATATTGACATCTTGCATGACCTGCGCTTCAAAGCTGTTGCTTGGGGACGCTGACAAGAACTCAGAACCAACTACTGCTACTCAGAGTAGACAAAGCCCTGCTTCCACTCCTGCAAAAGTCTCGGAAGCAGAGGACGATTCACTTGCCTCTTCGGACAGCGAGGACGAAGACGACCCTTCCAAGCTGACGGACAGATACATCCGAATCCAATCGGGGATATGGGCTGCGCAGAACCAGATCTCCAAAGATCGTCAAGATAAGGGACCCATGAAAGAGAGAAGATTGATGAGGTTGAATCAGAAATTGCAACAAATACGCCGCGATCCACTCTTTGATGAGTGGGAAGCAGAAGCTCAATGGAGCACCAACTTGCTGGAACTCCAGACCGTACAACAGCAGCGTATGCGTGCAGCAGCAGCTACTAACCGCCGAAAGAAGAAGCAAGCCCTTTCTGCAGAGACGGTAGGCAGCGACCCAGAGGCAACGGAGACCACATTTGGGGAACGCCAGATGGATGACGACGAAGACGCCCTCTTAGGGGCCATGTTCGGAGAGTCTGAAGATGCTCCCTGCGCTGCCCAAAACCAAACGGCGTCTGAGAGCCCCGTTAAGATTCTTGACTTTCCAAGATGGACAGGATTGTCACCGAGGAGACTGTTGGAAGAACTGTGCAAGAGTCACGATTCGAAGTCTCGAGTTCGGTTCCGGGCACTGGTCCAAACTTCATATTCAGCCAGACACGAACTAGAGATCTCCTGGGCCGTTGACATCGTGCTTGACCCATACACGGTGGCCGCGCTGCCTTGCGAAATTTCCGCGCAGACGACCGAGCGAAGCTGGAGTCTGGTAATGAAAGACGTTGCTGCAGCAAATATCGCGCAGTCCGAAGCTTACATCTCTACTCTGGCACTCTTTTTACTCTCAACAATCGGAGCGGGCGAGGCAAGAGCTATTGGCCGTCTGCCAACTGTCTGGCGTGACCTGTTCAAGGATTTGACTGCTGGCAAGCAAGCTCTGGTCAATGAGGAACACAAGACGACCCTGCGTCGGCTACGGGCACTCGTTCACGAAATGCAAGACAAGCTGAAGCAACAGCAGGACCCACCCTCCGTTGCGCGCACACAAATGCAGGGCGTTTCGACAGAGCGACGTCGGCCACGACCACCTCCTGCCACGAAGATGAGCCCAGAGCAGGTTTCTAGAGAATGGAGCTCCCGGACTTCTCGACCATCGTTCCAACAAATGCTCGAGGTCCGTCAACAACTCCCAGTACACCAGTACAAGGACAGAATATTATCGTGCATCGAGGGAAACCCGGTGAGTGTGATATGTGCAGAAACCGGCGCTGGGAAGTCCTCAGGGATTCCCGTCCTGATTTTAGAGCAAGAATTTTCCACGTCTCGAGACTGTCGCATACTGGTCACTCAACCACGAAGGATCTCTGCTGTTACACTGGCGAGGCGGGTATCTCAGGAGCTTGGGGAGAGTCGGAATGACATTGGGAGCATCCGATCACTGGTAGGGTATGCTATACGATTAGAGAGCAAAACCAGCAATTCAACAAGAATCACATATGCTACAACTGGTGTTCTGCTCAGGATGCTGGAAGAGTCTCCAGACCTCGACGACCTGGACTATCTGATACTTGACGAGGTACACGAGCGGACGATGGACCTGGATCTGCTGTTCATTGCATTGCGAAAGTTACAAAAGCGGCGGACTGGCCTGAAGATTATTCTCATGTCAGCCACCGTCGACGCAAAAAAGTTTTCCGACTACTTTGATGGTGCACCAGTGCTGGATCTGCCTGGCAGGACGTTTCCGGTTGATGTCAAGTTCTTGGAGGACGCGATTGAAGCCACGAATAACCTTGGCTGCGTCAATGACAAAGCCCTAGTGCTGCAAGACGAAGGTCCGGACTTCGATGAACCCTATGCGAACGAGAAGGGACGACCCATCATCAGCGAGCCAGCGAAGTACAGCAGTCAAACACAGCGTACGGTCGCCAGCATCGACGAGTATCGAATCGACTACAACCTCATCGCAAAACTTGCTGCATGTATTGCTACGAGACCTCAGTTTGTCAAGTACAGTGCCGCTCTCTTGATCTTTATGCCGGGCATAGGCGAGATGCGACGTCTCCACAACCTTCTCCTGGCTATGGACACGTTCAGTCGCAACTGGGTTGTTCACCTGCTGCATTCGACCTTCTCGACGGAAGAACTCGAGCGGGCATTTGAACGACCTCCGCCGGGTCACAGAAAGATCGTCATCGCAACCAACATCGCCGAAACTGGTATCACCATCCCCGATGTGACGGCCGTGATTGACACGTGCAAAGAGAAAATCATGCGCTTTGATGAACGTCGCCAGCTATCCCGGCTCACGGAGGGATTCATATCTCGCTCCTCCGCACGCCAACGCAGAGGTCGTGCCGCCCGTGTTCAAGATGGTCTCTGTTTCCACCTTGTTACCAAACATCGACACGACAACCAGATGCTCGAGCAACAGGTACCGGAAATGCTTCGGCTGAGCCTGCAAGATCCCATGTTGCGCATCAAAGTCTGGGATTTGGGCTCGATTGAGGAGACGCTCAATGCGGCCATTGATCCGCCATCCAGGAAGAACATTCTCAGGGCTATTGAGAAGTTGAAGGACGCAGGCGCACTGACGAAGAACGAAGCACTCACCCACTTAGGCCAGCAGATTGCGAGGTTGCCTCTCGAAGTTTCATTGGCAAAGCTCGCGATCTTCGGAGTGGTTTTCAAATGCTTGGACCCCTTGTTGACCATGATCTCTCTATTGGCTTCCAAATCACCCTTCCTGCCGACGTCGGCCTCAAGCAGTGGCGGGCAACAACCTAACGCTCGACTTAGCTTCAGTAGAGGCGAGTCCGACCTCTTGTCCTCACTTAACGCATACGAGAGCTGGAAAAAGGCCAGACTCGCTCGAACCGCCCAAGACTTCTGCCGCAAGAACCACGTTAGCGACCAAACAATGGGCCAGGTCGAAGAGCAGAAGATCCAGTTGTTGGTCTATCTCGTAGACGCCCGCCTGGTCGTCCTCGACCCGGAAGAGAAAGGACATCTGAACCGAGCGCGTTCGTACCACGGCCACGGCCTACCCAGCTACAGCATTCCAACTCGATACAATCAACCAGTACCCGACCGTGCGCTCAACGCCATAAGCGCCATGGCGCTCTATCCACGCATCCTCATGCGCGAAGGCAAAGGCTGGCGTAACGTCTATACTAATCAGATCGTCACTGTGACTTCTCTCTCGATCAACCATCCTTCCCACTCGGCCAAACCGCCGCGCTGGCTGTCCTTCTATGAAGCGATGCAGAACACCCGGTCCGGCAATCTCAATGTCTTCGAGACCTCCGCGATTCCAGAGTCCGCCCTTGCGATCCTGCTAGGCAGCGATGCGGAGTTCAAGTTCTACGCCGGCGTAATGGTCTTGGATGGTGGAAAGGTGAAGCTGAGCGTGAGGCACTGGAGCGAGTTAATGGCAATCAAGATTTTGAGAGAAAGGGTCGAAAAAGTGTTGCAACAATGTTATAGTGCTCCGGGCCAGGAGGTGGCCGAACAAGATAGGAAGTGGTTGGATCTTTGGTTGAGGATTGAGACGGCACAGGAGTCATGAGGCACATCATGAGCATCAGCATCAGCATTAGCATCAGCGGAGGGGGGATAGAGATTGGACTTGCATACCAATAGAACCTCGTCTGCTGGACGTCATTGGAAATACGAGTGCCGTCCTTGGGAAATATCCCCCGATGCCCCACAGGATCATTGCTAGAATATGGCGAGCTTTCGTGAAAACAACATCTCACAGACAATCCGTATACGGATGGTACGTAGGATTACTGACTTGAGAATAACTTCGGAGGAGTCAATTGATGAAGCCGACCGGCCAGTCACCAGGCGATGAGGAAAAGCAAAGCTGAGTCAGAACAGGAAGTAATTACTTACCTCATGAGTGAGCATTGGCTGATGAATGCCTCATGCCTGCTTCATGTCCAGAAAAGTGCCTTACAAGGCATCCGTGACAGCGGCGGGCATCAGCAGAAGCCTCGTAGAGTTCTTCGGTCGGGAAGCACTTCGCTCGCATTCGGCACCTCAAGCCACAACGTTGGCGGGTTTGGAGCAGATTGTGGCGCAAGTTCTAGGCGGGGAAGCCCCTGTCCATACCTACTTCTAGGCGTGGAAGTTCACGCCTCGGGCGTACCTGCGCCTACGCTTGCGCCACTAACCGCTGTTCCCTCATCGTCGTGTGCTCGATTGGGTTATGTTTCTCGTCAACTCTCATTCTTTCTTCACCTCGCAATGAACCGGTGCTGTAGCCTTGCCGACACTGCTTACCCGAAAGAAGGTGTGACTATGTCACACTTTCCAAGGACATTCTTGCGGCCGACCAAACCAGGCCAATCTGGGGACCAAAGGTCGCTCTCCCTGCCTTGTGTCACCAGTCTAGCCGTGAAAACATGGGGCTGAGTCTCTCAGCCTACAGCAGTGATGCGTAATGTATGGAGGGAATCAGAATAAATCAGGCCTCGACAGACCAGCAGGCGCTGCTTATCACTTCAGACGAGTTCACCGTTATCTATGCTGAAGATTCCCGGGAATCACTGGCACTTACATTGTCCCGGCCACGTCCGTTGTCCGAATACAGCTTGAACAGACAGCAGTGTGTCGAACACCATGAAGCTGCTCAGCCTCCCTGCTGTATCACCTCTTCAGCCGATTGCGAAGCCCGCCAAATATGAACACACAGCGCTCCCCTTGGACACGATCGATCCGAAACTACGCATTGTCTCGCTCCTGCCTGGTCGTCAGCATGAGAAAGTCAAGTGTTCACTGCGTATTTCTTCTTTGGCGAACGCTCATTTACAGTATACCGCCGTATCATACACATGGGGCAGTACTGAAAAGACGCAAACGGTCATATGCGATGGCAAACAACTGCCAGTGACCAATAACTTGTACGCTGCGTTGCGCAATCTCCGGACGAAAGATTCTCCGGTCACCATTTGGATTGACCAGCTGTCCATCAACCAAAGTGACAGTGCAGAGTGTGAAAACCAAGTCGGTATAATGGGGAAGATATACAAGAACGCCCGGGGAGTAGTCATATGGCTCGGTGAAACTCAACACAAAAGCACCCAAGCACTTGCGCTATGTAAGCAAATAATCAAGGTCATTGACGCGCATGAGCGAGACATATCCAGGGACATCGTTGGTGGGCCTGAGCAATTTGGCTTGCCAAAATGGGCAGACAACGTCTGGTACAGTCTGGGACTTTTGCTGAGGCGGCCGTGGTTTCAGCGGACTTGGACCATCCAGGAAGTTGTCATGGCTCGCAATGCCGTTGTCCGGTGTGGAAAAGACAGCATACCATGGACCTCGCTCAGCAGAGTCGCTTCTGTCCTGGACTTTGAAACTGGAAGACCCTCTAGCGTCGTGAACCCATCAAGCACAAGTCTGACTCACCGCGTGCGACTTATAGACAGACTCCGGGAGGCTCCAATGGACTTGATTGATTTGCTTCTTGACACCAGAGACTACCAGGTTACCGACCCTAGAGACAAGGTATACGCGTTCCTGGGCCTTGCCTTGTCGGATATCGCGCCTGACTACACTACAAAGACCGCTGAAATCCTGTACATTCAGATTGCAGTTGCATATCTTGCGAGCTCACTAGCTGAGCCATGCTCAGAAGAGCTGAAAAGCCGCAAAGTCATGAATCTGATAAGCCATGCTGGATCTGCAAACCAGCAGCTCCCTTTACCTTCATGGGTCCCCGATTGGAGCACAAGCCTTCAGAGCCGGCGATTTGTCCTCCGTCCTCCGTCTTCACTCGATCCTATACCGGGGTATGAGGCTGGCGGACCTGTACTTTCTCAATTCGACATCTTGGGCCGTCATCGCTTGCGTCTCAGCGCCATCATTTGCGGCTCAGTCCGTACAGCGGGCACCAAATGGCTTGCCAAGGGAGACACGTTGAGCCGAAAACAACTTCGCGACGACGCAGGCGAATGGCTTGCCGAGGCCATGTCAATCAATTACATGGCCGGGCAGACGTATCTGACAGGAGGCCCGGCGAACGAAATTTTCAAGCAAACAGTATTAGCAGGTAGGAATCGATATGGCGACTTGGCTTTACCGGATGATATCCAAACGATGTATAATGGCTGGCAGAGACTACAACAGACGACTTTCACAACCGACCACTTGAAAGAACGTGTCCATGGGGACCAGTGGCTCTACTTTCATGCGACAATGGCGGCGCAGGGACGGGTCTTCATGCTGTCAACGCACGGTCACACGGGCCTTGCGCCGCATGGAACCAGATGTGGTGACAGGATCGCCGTGCTTCTGGGCGCCGGAGCACCGGTAGTATTACGTCCTGTAGGGCATGATATGGACGGGCATCTGTATTCCCTTATTGGTGGTAGGTGGTGTCCTTACATTATCAACTTCTCAGATCGTCTCAAGCTAAGTTTCCACACCTTGATTAGAAGCTTACATTCATGGCATGATGGACGGTGAAGTGACTCGAAACGTACAGTTTGACGACCCGGGGATTGAAGACATCGTGCTTGTTTGAGCGCAGCCGACTGGTGGAAGAACAAAGGAGTCAGTCACCGGAAGCAGTATGTGGCTAGAGTATTGTGTCTTTGTGCGAAATCGGTCTCTTTGTCCCTGAAGAAACAGAATACCAGTCACCAACCAGTCTGCCGAGAAGCGGTGAGGGACTGCGTCTGACTTATGGAATTTCCCGTCATCCATCGGCCCGAGTTATATGTATATATGTATAATAATACCTCTGGTGTCTTCGCATCCCTTGCCGGTGATGGCAGACGCCCAAATACACGCTGTGCTTCAACCAGTATCGCCGGCATCAATCGTGCGGGGCTTAATGGATCTCTTCAAGTGAGTCGCCCGCTCACTCCACGGCTGTGCTTTGTTTTCGCTGCTTTTGGCCGACTTGCTCGAAGACAGCCTCAGGCTTGTTGTGACGGCTTACCTGTCAGTAGGTTTGCAACTCTAGGAGTTTTCCTCCCCTCAGGAACCCTGGGACTGTGTTATCCCTTCCAACTGGACGTGCCAGTCTGCATCTAAACTTGTGGCGAACAGCATGCGAAGCTCCAGCCGAAATCGAGGTCGGCGTCGGAGAGAAGTGTCGCATGCTTCATCGGAAGTTCTCCCAGCAATTCTCGAGGTTCGTCCATGCTCTGAACTGACATGGTACAGTAGACCTGACCGCCGCTAGCCTGGTAGAAGGGCCAAGTCTCGAGCGGATCAGCTTTTCTCCGAAGATCCAATGCATACTCCGTACTCCTGACTCGGTACTCTAATTTAATCCAGCCTTGAGATTCCTGAGAACCACTGCTTTCTCCCATCAGCAGCTGGCCATGTAGAAAAATGCTCAGCCGGTCCCTGTTGCGGCGGCTATACCCCCGTACGGCGACTCGCTGCACCAATTCGAGCTTTACAGCGATCGTCACATCACACCGACCCTTAAGCACCTTCTCGCGGGCCTCGTACAAGGCCAGCAACCATCTTCCACCGCGTCCGACTCTGCCCGACGCCGAGATCAAAGAGACCTACGTGAAGGGGACCGGGCCAGGCGGTGGGGGCGCTTTTTTCTTCTCTCCAATCCGTCTGAATCGAGGGTCATCCGAAAATTCCTAACAGCGTGAGGGGCAGGCCAGAAGATCAACAAGACGAATTCGGCCGCTCAGTTGACGCACATCCCGACGGGCATAGTCGTCAAGTGCCAGGCCACGCGGAGCAAGAGCCAGAATTACACCATCGCCAGGAGGCTTCTGGCTGAGAAGGTCGAATTGCTGCAGAAGGGAGACGAGAGTCGGGCTGCCAAAGTGCTGGCGCGGAAGTCCAAGAAGAAGAGGAGCGCGGACAAGAAGAAGCGCAGGAAATATCGACAACTTTCCGGAGAGGTGGAAAATAAGGAAGGCGATGGCGACGAGAATCAAGACTATGATGATGATGATGATGATGATGCGGACGAAGCTGGACCCGAAGACCTTAGGGTCGATACCTTGAATGAGCCCGAGAATGGTGGCGACAGCGGCAGCGGCACCAGCAACGCGCCAAAGGGATGAAGGATGAAAAGTTCTCGACATGAGTGCCTGAAACCCCCCCTACACAATACACCAGAGTGTAAGGATGCCTCTATCTCAAGCAATATACCGGAGCTGGATGTTGCAATGACCCCCAAGACTGCAGGTACCTGAACTATATGAGAAACGATGCAAGCCAACAGGTTCGCTTTTGGGTCGAAACTGCCTCGGGAATACCTCAGCCTCGTGCACAACTGTGGCACAGCCTTGCTGTTCGAGTCACGGAGTTGTCACGCATTCGCACTTTTTACCAGCCCCAAAAAACCAACGAGTCGACAAAAACTCTAACCCAGAACCCGAACTGTTGGTCAGACAGTTCGAGGTCCCGGTCGAGGGAAACCCCTTCTGCTGTGAAGGAGGGGGTTTTTCTCGTTGTCCGTCAGGTTCTCTCCTGCCCTTCGCCCTCCGGGGAGGGTTGTCGTCGACAGGGACTCGATCTGGACCGCCATACACTTCACACATCGGTGTGTATGAGGCAGATTGTCGAACTGAGTCTGGGGCTAACATCCAATCATAGCCCACCAAGAGAAGCTGTCTCATGCCTGGCGAATCACCCTCACGCCCTGCAGGTTTGTTGATTTTGGCGACACCTGCAGAACACGGGATAGACACAAGAATTTGAGGGAATTCTGCCGGAGTAAAATATAAACAACAATTCTTTCGGGTTGGGCCGAGGAATATTCTGGGATGGCTGCTCTGTGCGTATTGGGTGACCATTACTCCGTACTGTACGAGGACTTTTCTTCACCTACAGTGCGCGTGAATATTCACCGGCGAACTGCGAGCTCCCTTCTCCTGGTGGCTGCTTTCAGGTTACTCGACTCGCAAACCGTCGATTCTACACTTGGGCGCGGCTAAGCGGGATTACAGCCTTTTGTGTTTGTCCTTTCTTTTTCAAGTCGCTCTCCCATTGTTCTTCAGAGCAACACACTTCCGCATGCGTCACTCTGCGCGCCTCGATCACGAACTCGCAGCATACCATGAGGTTCTGCAACGCCTTCACCTCCCCTTTTCCACTCCTTCTATTACCGCTCTCCTTCTTCCTCGCCGTGACTTATCTCTCCGTCAAGAAAGACGCACCTCTTCCAAGTCCATCAGCTGTTGGCGTCGGGCAATTCTGGAGGTCCGCTGTGAAGAAAACGATGAATGAAACACACCTCTTCATTCCCCCCAATCACCCCAACATTCACGTATGCTCTTTCCTGCTCCTCTTCGTCTAACCGCCTCAGTACTAAGCCGATTGACAGTATGTGGGACGTTGGCTGCCGTCCGCGGATCATCTGACGCACGAGGCAATGCTTCCAGGTCTGTATACGGTCAGGTCCCCGGTAACTAAGGAAGCATACTGACCATTCGGCGACAGGCATGTACTTCGAAATCGCTGTCACCAACACTACCTCTGTGTACCTCGCCTTCCAACAAGATCAGAATGACCCTCGGACGTCAGCGGGCCCCCTGAGCGTTCAAGATCGTATCGGCTTGTTTGTGGAAATCGACGACGACCTCGTATTTGGGGTTCGACGACCATTCCCTATCGTGCAGGTCGCGGAGGATCTCGACCCTAGCAGAACGTACAGGCTGAGAGTCACGCAAACGGGGACGTACCCCATTGGCGATAGTAGCTTCCGTTTTCAAGGAGTTTGGCTGGACCGGCCTCCCTCTCAGAAGGACGGTCCTTCACTGTTGGATCCGGCCAACTCGGCTGTTGGCAGCACGCCGGGCACGCTGGTACCGCAGTCCGACGGCCCACAGGGAGCTCGGCAACCGCAAGACTCACTGCTGCCGCGGCGACGAGCGAAACCACTCATAGAGTTGTTCACGTGCGAGGTCGACAGGTGGCTCCATTGCCACGACCCGCGGAAAGACGCGGCGGAGCTGGCCAAGGAACGAGTGCACACCTGGTATAAGCGCTTGGAGTCGGAGCTCGGTGCCGACGTCGCCCTCGTATCTACCACAGGGGACTACTTTTCCCGCGACTGGTTTCATTTCAAAGGTGACGGCAACCCGGATGCGCCCGTCTCGCTATATTTCTTTACGCACCGCGTCGGTTGCGTAGGACGTCCAGAAGACTGCCTGAAGCAACACCCCTGGCCATTCAAGAGCTACCGACCTGCTGTTCTGCTCCTACAACTCGGCTTCAGCGACTTCACCCACATCTTCAAGATGCGCCCGACCAAACCGCATTTGGACGATTTTCTCGACAGCTTCATCAAGGACTATGTCGCCTTGGTCAAGAAGATCCGCGCCCGCGCCTACCCCTCTGACGGGACCACCACGAATGCTCGCTCCAACGACGGCGACCCCGACCCTGACGGCAGCTACATTTACAACTCGGCGCCGTCCACGCTCCCGATCTTCCTCGTCACCCCCTTCTCGGCCCACGGCGTATTTGTGACGCGGAAGCTCACGCTCGCCAAGGTCATGACCGACGTCCTCGCGCGGATCGTGGCCACCTTGCACGCCCATGGGGACATCTCGACCCACCTCATCGACACCGCCGGTTGGCTCGATCCGCGGCGAGACTTCGAGAAGCCACCCGGCTTCCGGCCACCGTGGTACCCGCACCACAACGGAAAACGCTGGAGACCCCTCACCGACGCGGCTGCAACCAAGGTGGCAGCTCTGCTCGCGAGCCATGTCTGCCCATACATCCAACAAGGCGGCCGCGGCGAGAGATCGGCGGCCGACGGACCTGCACGCGTAAGCAACGGCTCAGCTTTGGCTCCCGCCTTTGGAGGCTGCGCATTTGATCAATACGACAGCTATCTCGGCAACGTGTACGTCCCTGACGGGGTACAGCTGGACCGGGCCCTGCTGGAGCGCCGGATCGAGAGCATCAAGGAGAAATTCCAGCTCGTCACGCCGGCTCAGCTGAAGGCTGAGGGGCAGACGTTTCTACACAGATTCACCAAGTAGTTGTGCGGAGGATGTAGTATGTTGGTTGGTTTCTACGTACCACGGTTCTGGCAGCATTGTTTGGCTGGGCGCCGGGCCCCGAGTCGGCCTGGACCTCGTCGCAAGCAGATCGAATGTATAACTTGAAGTGATTTTCTCCTCCCGTTGCCATACGTCCCGGGCACGTTGTAATCATGCTATAATATCCTACAGTATCGTACCTCCCACTGGTGCCATTAAAGCCCCAATGCTGTTGAGCTGCGACGTCCTTTGGATTGAGAGGCGATCCAACGAATTCAATCCTTCAAACCACTTGCCCTTGTAGCGGGGAGATCTTCACCGTCAAGAGTGATGACCTTCCGACTCAACAATAGCCGCAGCTCTGGTGTGATGACTTTCTCTTTGATTTTTTCGGCCTCTTTGCCTTTCGCCTGCGTTTGGCCTGGAATCTGTCCTCTGGAGCTTGACGCAGCGTTATGATTCTGATTCTGGCTGTGGTTCTGGTTCTGGGTTCTCAGGACCGAAGCACCCGTCGCCGCCGAGCCAGTCACCACCGCCCCTGTGTTCTGTGTACCACCAGCGTTGCTATCCTGCGCATCCTCCACACCCGCCTTCCTTTGCCTCAACTCGCCGCCCCCTTCGCTCGGCATGGGAAATGTCTCCTTGCGATCAATCGCCTCAACCGTCTTTTCAAACCTCTTGAACAGCGCCTCGGCCCTGATAAGCATCTCCTGCAGATCCATTGTGCCCGACAGCTCGTTGATGTACTTGAGCACCTCGTCGAAATGCTTCAGGTGATCAATGATGACGTCGCGGTGCTTCTCTAGAATCGCCACCGCGATGAACAGGTGGAATTGGCTGCTGTAGAAGTCCGGCCACAGACTCTCCCACAGCCGCAACGTGTCGGACCATTCGAATTCACGCTTATACCACACTAGTAACATGCGGAAGAAGAAGAAAAAGTTGGTGCTATCGGCGCTTTGGAGGTGCATGTAGAGTTTCGGATCGAGAAGCTGGACCAGTTGGTCGAGCGTGTTCAGTTGGGCGCGCATGCCGAGTTGAGACCGCGCGAAGTTGCGGCTCATGCGGGCCATGAAGTGGCAGAAGGCTGTGAACGCTAGGGCGTCGTCTTGGAAGACGGCGTAGAGAGGCGACAGGAGATCCGACATGCCTTGGACGTATCCGAGATTTTGGGGCGAGGGATTCGTGGTTTGGTATTTCGAAGAGGAGGCCCCGGCGGAAGGAGGTGTGTCGTATTCGAGATATGTCAGGAGCATGTCTTTGAGTTGTTCCATGTGGACGTTTGTGCCGGGACCGTCGGGACTGTAGAACGGAGACGTTGGATCTGGATGGGGGATGTCTTCACCTGCGAAAAGGGGAATGTGTCGGTCGGTACGATGCACGTCTTTCTCTACATGTCGGACAGCCAGGTCAGTTTGATGTGAGTGGAGAGGAAGCATGATACGAGTAAGTGATCGCTGGACCTACCAATTCGCACCTTCTGCTCTTTCCACCATTCTTCTTGTTCGGGCGTGGCGTTGCCATCAATCATCCTGTCCCACCACGCGCCCTTGAGCTGGATGTATTCGTCTCGCTTTTTGTTCATGAGAGCACGCCGTTGCTCCTCTGTGCTGTCCCACTCATACACGCCCAGGAGGAAGGGCCAGGCTTCTTTTCGTACGCCGTCCTCAGGATCAAGACCGCCGTGGAAGATGCGTTCCTTGACTTCGTCCACCGTCACGTTGAGTTTACCCTTTACGTCGAAGAATGATTTCCACTCAGTCATGTTGACGGGTCGGCGCTTGCTGTCGGTCAATGTCATTCGTGCAGCTTCCATGTCCAGGATCTCAAAATCGCCAACGCTGGTTTCTTCGGATTCGAGGACATCTCGCGCGGTCCATATTCGTTGCTTTCTTTCTCGTTCGCTCTGCTCGGCGATGCTCATAGCCCATCGCGCGAGGTAGAGCTTTGCACTGTCGAATTCATCCTGCAAGGTCTGGACTTCGGGGTTTTGAATTAGGCGTCTAACCTGAGGAGGTAGATTCTTGTTGTTCGCAAGGTCTTCAGCCGTCCTTCGGGTGAAAGTAGTGACTTTGGACAATTGCTCGAGGATCTTCCACCTTGTCTCTTTGAGAGCTTTCGTGAGCGGGTCCATGCCCGGCCCTGGTGGCTTCTTCTGTTGGTCAACAGGCTTCTTGGCCGCAGCGTCGTCCTTCCGTTTGGCCTGTTCGAGTGACTTCCGTCCTTGCCCGAAACCCAAACGATCTTCCTCAGACGGGTCGATCAGGTATATTGACGGCTCGGCGGTACTTCGTTCGACAGCGACGTATCTCTTCACCCATTTGAGCACTTCATCACCGCCCCAGAACAGTTCGCCGCTTTCTCCAAACGGGTCGAAGGATTCTCTTGCTCTTTTCTTTTTCTGGAGGATCGTGCTTTCGCATTCCGAGTCGTGGAAGAACAGGGCAGGGAGGCTGGAGCCTGCTCTGGTATTGATGACGATGCTACCATACCACCATCCTAAGCTCGGTGGGCGGACGTGAATAGAGTATATGCTGGAGAGGGGAAGGGAGAAAGCGTATGGTCCAACCGGCGACTCGTCGAAGGTGGTTGCGAGAGGCAAGGGTGGGACCAGGTATGACTGTTTCGGAGGAGACTGGCTGTCTTTCATGTCCACCTTGACATAGGTGCTCAGGTCATCTTGAGCCAGTGAGGCCTCGGGCACCCAAGCCAGTAGATATGACGAGGCGTTCGCCTTTTTCTTTGACGCAGAGGAGGCCGAAGACGCCGGCCGCTGGTCGTCGGAGGAAAGAGGCGCGGGTTTCTGCTGGACCAGGGCGATGAAGCCCGGGATGTTGTCCTTCGCCGAGGGTGTCGGATGGACGTAGACTTTGCTCTTTGAGAAGAGCAGCTTCACGCCCTTGGAGGTCGAGGCGTGTGTGATGGTGTTGTATCCTCCTTCCTCATCGTCGGAAAGGTCGTAGAAGGAGGCAGAGGGCGACGGGGCGTCTCGGCGCCCTGAGGGTGCGGAGGTCATGCTGGTGCGTCAGAAGTGTTACATACTCGTACTCCAGGATGGATGAGAAGGAATGTCTCGCCTGAAGCTCGCTGTGAGTCTGTTGGAGGGAGGGTAAATATGTGGCGGTGCAGCTCAAGATCCATGCTGAATTCCTGATGCCTGGGCACCTGCTGGGCGGGTGCTGGAGAGGCTGCGCAACAGGTGACGTCGCTGACGAGCCAGAAGTGAGCCAGAGGTCAGAGTCAGGTGAGAGAGAGGTGGGGGTGACGGAGGGGCGAAACTGAGGCCGAAACCCCGCAGTGCAATGCACTACTGGGTAAGCGCAGCGGGCCCAGACTCGTCGCGCTTCCAAGAGCCATCGACTGGTGAAAGCGAACTGATCAATTACAAAAACCTTTGCTATACATGCTAACAAGGGCAACAAAGGGTTTCTCAGGCCATTCGTAATCGTCCATCCATGCGCATGCTTTTCCCACCAACTCCATGCTTCATATTTTTGTTTCAGAAGCTTCTATTTCCGCGTGTGAATCGTCCACGAACTGAAATCCAGCTGAGATGCCAATGACCCGTCTTTCTTCGCTCCGCCAGGCTCCTCTCTGGGTACCGGTGTCTTTCTCCCGCTCGACGTTCCGGGCGGCGTATTGATACTTGTCATGGCTGCACCACCAGACGGGGCCTGCTTGTCAGCTGCTTTCATCACGCGCTCCTTAAGCCTCTTGAGCTGCTGCAGTCGCGCTCTCCAAGCACTCGGAAACTCGGTATCATCGTCCTTCGTGTTCCATGTTTGACAGAACATGCTGGCGTTCAGTGCCAAGGTTCGCACAAAGGTGGCGAGCTGAGCGGCCGAGATGATCTTGGCGTCCGCCGCGGGGGATATATTCGGCAAGTCGACCCTTGTGATGACACGAACCCAGTAGAAGCCTGGCAGAAAGTCCGGGTCTTTGGCTTCTCTGCTGCGGCACGCTGGTCGGATAACGATGTTGACGTAGTTCAGCTGCGACTTCAGGTTATTCATATCCCAGTCAAGTCCTGACCGGTTGAAGATGATGTTGACGTGACAATTGCCAACGTGCGCCTTCTTGTTAATACACTGAGGATCCTCCTCCACATCAGTCGGCATCATTGTCGGCACAAAGTAGATGATCTCTTCAACCCGATCTCGCCAAGCAATCGTGCGCTCGCCGTCTCGAGGATACTCGAGCCCCTGAGGTTTGAACTGCAGAGGTGGTTCTAGTGACACCACGTAGCCGAGGCCATCGAGAAGCCGGTCGAAATCTGCAGAGCCGCCGGTATTGGTGAGATATTCAGACTCGTCAGTTTGTCCTTCATCAATGAAAAGCACGCCGAATTTGTGGCTAGTAACCGTCGGTATTCGGTCGAACCCTTCAAGAGCTCGTTGGACATACTCTTCCTGTGGTAGGAGAAGGGGTTGATCAGCCAGATTGGTGATTGCCGCACTCGCCACTCGTTGCAGCATGACATGCGGAGGTAGTACTTCAGTCGTGATCTCTTGTTGCCGGATTTGTGTATACCCAGGCCGATGATGTGAAGGTAAGGGCGCCGTCAACTGTTGGTACATGGCATATGTGGTGCCGGAAGCCTGGCGTTTGGTGATATGGGTTTTGCCGGTGTGACCAGCGACCTCGACAGTTACGATGCTGAGACCAGCAATCCATGAAGCCGAAGACACCGGTCCATCTTCGGAGCCCGCAAAGTCGTGATTAGGTGAAGTTTCGCCCAGGTCGGAGAATGCGGTTCTTTGCATCATGTCAATGAGCACTTCACCCTGCTCGTCAATCGCCTCCTCTCCGCGGCCGTTTTTCCACACCAGCCGCGGAACAATCCACTGTACGTATTTGGCCCTGAGATCCAGGCGAAGCGATAGGAACCAGAATAGGATGTTGTGGTATGCCAACGCAGCAGCATATTGAGGCAACCCAATATCCGTCAGCATGGCGGCACGGTATGGCGGTCGTTTGAAGTTCATTCCACTGTGCCTTGACGTCGCGCTGACCCGACCCTGTGGCGCGGTAACGGTCGACTGTTGCTGCGCCCGCGTCTTCTCGAGGTATTGGATGCATATCCCGAAGATCATCTGAATCTCATCCGGATTCAGGTTGGAGTGCATTTCTGGGAGCAGTGCAACTTGGATCAGGAATTCGAGGATGTGTGCTGTAAGATGCCCTTGCGTCATGTTCTTGGACATTTTGTCAATAATGGTGGGATACAACGTGGCCACAGACGACGGAATCTCGAGACTGCAGAGTGACAGTGCGTGGATGCAGCCACGACTCGTCCCCTCCCAAGCTCCCCCAAGCCCAGAGATGAAGGCCCGGACCATATCGTCTCCGAAGCCTTTTTGAACTTCCTCGGATCTCATGGTCGCGAAGGGTGTGAGATTGACCAAGATATCATACATACACAGGGCGACGTCAGATCTCTTCAGTCCGGTGGACGTCGGTGGTTCTCGGAAGGAGTTGTTGACAATTTGTTCGCACAACACTTGCCGTAGCTTGACGATTGCTTGTATCGAGTTGAGCCACAGAGCGATGTTGCTCAGTTGCGCACCAGCATGGACGACTGTGTAACCGTATGTCTCCCAATCTTGATCGGCTTGCAGGCATCGGATGATGCTCATGAGCCAGATGTTCATGTCTAATCCTTCTTTCACCTGCGGATAGGCAGTCTTGCTCACATTGAGTATGCGTGATGCTCGACCAGCGAATGGGTAGTTGACATCCTCCGTCTCCGGATACATCCACAGTGGATCGCCGGCGTCCGATCTCGCCGACAAGCTCGTGCTGCTTGCAGAATCTCGCTGTGAGGGGTTTTCAAGCTTGAATGTGTCGGCAGACTCTCTGGTCCGCACAAGGGCACTAGCGATATGGCGGCTGTGGCTCCCGGTAGCAATGTAAATGAACCCAGCGTCATCGGCTCTGATCCGGAACAACAGGCGTTTGGCGACAAGACGAGCCGGGCGGGACTGGCAGCGAGAGCTAGCAGCTTCGACCAAGGCGTCGAAAACCTTGACGGCAGCATCGGCATCGGTGTGAATGCTGTAGCTGAAGATAGTGATAAGAACTTTGGTAGCTAAGATGGCTAGGTCATCATTTAGAGACACCACTGCCGGCGCATCCTTCATCAAACGTCCGCGGATCTTCTCAATTGTGCGAATTGTTGATGCCTTCTCTTTTGCAGCCTCCTCGTAGTTCGAAACCATGTGGTCCAAAGATCTGAGCAGTGTCTCAAAAACGCGAGTGTCACGTTCACTATCGAGTTGGTCGAGCAATCCGCCAAAGATTGATACATAGGCTTCGTGTGGGAAAGTATTGGGTTCTGCCACTGTGTCGTTGAAAGGGTTTCCAGCCTGTACAAGGATTTCGATAGCTCTCAGACGCGCCGCTGAGGGCAAAGCCTGGTCCTGAACAATCTCCTTGTAGATTTTGTCAGCGTACTGGCTCTTGATATTGTCGTCTTCCGACGACAAGTGATTAGCGCTTGCGTAGTTCAGGCTCAGAATTAACTGACTCTGATCAGCGTAGTGAGGAAAATGAAGAAAGAGTTCGTGGATGGCAATCTGATCTGAGCTGGGAAGGCGATCCCAGATGCGCAGGAAATCTTGAGCCAGATTTTTCGACACCGTTTCGCGATCTCTGGAGTGGTGCTCCCACTGCCGGTCCTCATCCAGGGTCTGGCTTCTTGGCGAAGTCGCCTCGAAACAAAGACGCACAGTTTCCAACAACATCCCAAAGTCCAAGGAAGGCATCTCTGTCTGTGATCGGGGACTCGACATGATGGCATGCAAAGCATTCAAAATGTCGTAACAGAAGCGCGAGATGCCTTGCTGTGCTGCGGGGTGTAACACTTCGAGGAAGTCTTGCAAGCTGAGAACAAACCCTCCTCCTTCCTGCCTTTCGTCTATCAGATGCTGCAAGATCCGCGTTGCACCTCTGGCGTGCGAGAGGTAGTGTCTCGGGCTCTCTGAAATAGGAGTGCGTACAAAGGAATAGAGCGTGCTCATGAATCCGGCGTGCAGTCCACTGGTAGCCAACAGCTTTGCACAATCGAAGAGGTGTCGTGGCACTTCTGATAAGCTTGTGATAGAAGCACATAACACCACAAGAGTCTGGTCCAAGCCGCTGGGTGGATAGTCGAAATGCGACGAGATGATGTAGAGGATGCTTACGCCGGCATCTATGTCCTCCTGACGATTCGCGTTCAGACATAGAGCAGTAATAGCTTCTACAGTCCGAGACAATTCCTGCGGGTCGAAGCCGGTGTGTCCCAGCTCCAGATAGTCCGATATGTACTGGAGCAACCAGTCCAAGTCCTTATGCTCCTTTAGGGAGGCTGACCTGGAGGTTTTGCTCTCTTTCCGGGCCTTTCCCGCCTTCTGTGCCCAAGTAGGCAGCCATTGTATGAGTAAAGATAACAACGATGTGGTACCTTGGTCACCGTGATGGTCTTCGCGGAGATCGATAAATCTGCGTGATACATCCGTGCCGGGATTCAAATCACCGAAGCCAACAAGCCAGGCTCGCGCATCTTCCGGACTGGTAGCAACGGAGAGGCCTTCTTTGATAACATCCCTCAACTGTAGTGGCGTCGTATGGAAAACGGATTTCTCTGGAGTTTGTCCGCTCAGAGCATGGCCGTCAGGGCTGGGTGAGCTGCGTGAAGCGACCGGTAAATGCCACAGTGACACCCTTCTGGAATCCCTCGAATTAGGAGGGGCCGAGCCTTCCTTGGGAGAACCATTATCTCTCGACATACGACACAGATATTCCCCTGGAATGGGCATGGTCAGTAAGGCTATTCAATGGTAGTATCATCGCTTTACAAGCAACAGAGTGGAAAACCACGGACAGGAAGCCAAAGGTATCAGCCGTTGTGAACGCACGATTGCGCAGTTAGCAGGAGACGCCAAAGGATGTAAACGGCTGCAACGGATGTATCGTGGAGAAGAAACGACGTAGACTAGAGGCAAATGACCCAATGCACTGGATGGGATTTCCAGCGTTAAAAAAGGCAGATAAGGCGAAGGGCAGGGCAGGGCTCTTGTGGCGAAATGCAAGTAGTTCGTACATACCACGAGAACGAAACACGCAACAATGGCGAGATTCAGCCGAAACGGCGTAGGACTGACTACTCCGTCTCTATCGTAAATGCAAAAACTGTATCGGACACCGGCCCGCGTGTGGAGGGAAGGGGGAGACCGTGTGAGAGTTCGGTGGTTAGGTCGGTGGTGGTGTCGATGACAGCGACCTTATCAGCGGCATTTGGGGAGGACTGCGCCCAGCCGACAAATCGAGAATGGCCTTTGAGAGAAGAAGAAATTGACGCATCGAGCGGCAAAGTGTGAAAATTTTGGAGATGAGAGATGAATGGCCAGGATGAGACACTGTAACAAGCGTTTCTGGCTCTGGCCTTCAGATGCCGTGGCGCTGGCACAGATCTTGTGCTTGGTTCAGGCAAAAGGGAAATCATGCAGTCGATCCACCTTCAGACACTGGCACATATCTCATCGACAGCTCTTCTCACAGCCAAAACTCCGCGCATAACCGCTTGAGAGGCACAGGGGATGCCGACCTGCGCCCGCCTGGAAGGGCACGAAGCTCTCCTATCACTCACCGTACTGGGCGGGCGGTCTGATTACTCCTCCGTATTGGAGCCCGTAGGCGCAAAGCGGTCGCGATTCTGCCAAAGAAGTTCTGATGTAAACAAATGCTCGCAATTGTACAACGACACTGTTCACATTTTCGTCAGGGTTGCTCGTGGCAATAACCATTCACCTTTGAGAGATCGGAGTAGTGAGTCACGGACTCTTTTTGCCGCGGCTTCAGTTGTCGTGTTCTCAGCCTGGACGTTTCTCGTGCTTCCGCCTTGGACACTTTCAGAACAGAAGATCTCCCCACGCAGCGATGTATTGAGGAACTGATCTCACCACTGAGTCACCACGCAATTTGAACGACTGTCAGAAGACGAGCTTCGACATGGGCTCATTAACGCCTCTGGCCCAGCTGCTGGATGCGAGCCTTGATCCGAGGACGAATAAAGAGGGTATGTCACACGCAGGTCTGAGTGCGACTCAGCTAACATTGTCCAGCCGAGCTCAAGATCCGCGCTGAAGAGAACAAGCCTGGCTTCGCCATTTCTCTCCTCCAGATTGCCGCCTCAAATGACTTCCAATACAACACCCGACTTGCCAGCGCCCTCTTCTTCAAGAACTTCATCCGTCGCAACTGGACCGATGTGGAGGGCAACTACAAGCTTCCTCAGCAAGATGTCGCTGCCATTAAGACAGAAATCGTTGGACTGATGATATCCGTGCCACGCGGCCTCCAGACCCAGCTGGGCGAAGCGATCAGTGTGATAGCAGACAGTGATTTTTGGGAGCGGTGGGACACACTGGTCGACGATCTGATATCCCGCCTGAAGCCAGACGACCCAATCATCAATGCGGGAGTTCTTCAGGTCGCACACTCGATCTTTGCAAGATGGCGGCCGCTGTTCCGGTCTGACGAGCTGTTCACGGAAATCAATCACGTGCTGACAAAGTTCGCCCAGCCATTCCTAACGCTGTGGCAGGCTTTGGATGCCTATATTGAGAGCCATAGCAATGATAAGGCGGCTCTCCTGAATGCTTTCGCTGAGCTCGACCTTGTCCTCCAGCTGTTTTATGATCTGTCATGCCAGGACTTGTCTCCAGTCTTCGAGGACAACCTAGAAGGCATATCGGGCCTGCTGCTCAAGTATCTGAGATACAACAACTCTCTTCTGCAAACCGACGACGAGTCCGAAGCCGGGCCACTGGAGAACATAAAGTCCAACATCTTCGAAGCACTGACTCTCTACGTTGGCAAATATTACGACGACTTCTCCAAGCATGTCCGAGGCTTCGTTGAGAGTTCGTGGCACCTGTTGACAACTACTGGACCCGAACCGAAGAATGATATCCTCGTCAGCAAAGCCCTCCAGTTCCTGACCTCCATTGGTGGGATCGCGGAACAGGCGCAGACATTCGGCGATGCCACCGTTCAGACACAAATTGTCGAAAAAGTCATCCTGCCGAACGTGGCACTGCGGGACTCTGATATCGAAATCTTCGAGGATGAACCGATCGAGTTCATCCGACGAGATCTTGAAGGGTCAGACAGCGAGACCCGTCGAAGAGCAGCGGGAGATTTCCTGCGTCAACTCAGCGATCAGTTCGAACAATCCGTTACGACTATCGTGATGACGTACGTGGAAAAATGCTTGCAAGATTTCAGCGCGAATCCGCAGGAAAAATGGAGGGCCAAGGATACAGCAGTGAGCCTGTTTCATGCCTTGGCTTCCAAAGGAGCAACAACGGCTGCGCATGGAGTTACCAAAACCAACAGCCTGGTAGACATAGGTGACTTCTTCTCCAAACACCTTGCCAGTGACCTGCAGAATGAAAGCGCTCAGCCGTTGATCAAGGTCGATGCGATCAAATATCTCTACGTCTTCCGAAGTATCATCACGAGAGATCAATGGCAGGCAGTCATGCCGTTGCTTGTCAATCACCTCGGGAACTCGAACTACTGTGTTTACACCTATGCCTCGGTCGCTGTGGAGAGGGTTTTGGCCATGACCGACGGGACCGGGCGACCCGTCATCGATCCTGCCAGCATCAGGCCGCTAGCAGGCAGTCTCGTTGAACATCTTTTCAGCCTGGTAGAAAAGGATCCAGCACCACAAAAGGTCCAAGAGAACGAGTTTGTTATGCGCTGCATCATGCGGGTTTTGATCGTGCTGAAAGACGGTATTTCTGCGGTAGCCGAGAGTGTACTGCGACACCTGAGCACTATCACAAACATCATCGCATCCAATCCAAGCAATCCAAGATTCTACTACTATCATTTCGAAAGTCTAGGCGCCCTCATTCGGTTCACACCACCGGCGCAGGCGGATGCCCTGGCATCTCACCTGTTCAACCCGTTTGCAGCGATACTCGCCAACAGTGTCGAGGAGTTTACCCCCTACATCTTCCAACTGATGGCTGCGCTGCTAGAGGCGGAACCCAGCAAACCCTTACCCGCGGAGTACATACCCTTGATTGGGCCCATCCTTGGTCCTACGCTTTGGGACCAGCGAGGCAACATCCCAGCTTTAGTCCGACTTCTGTCGGCCATCCTCCCTCGGGCCGCGAATGAACTAGTCAGTGGCAACCAGGTTGAAAATGTCCTCGGTATCTTCCAGAAGTTGGTGTCGACCAAGGTGAACGAGAGCTATGGTGTCGACCTGCTAGAGACGGCGATCTCGACGTTCCAGCCCTCTACGCTTGAGCCTTACTGGGTCCATGTCTTGAACATCCTCCTCACGCGACTACAAGGCAAACAGTCGCAATCCTTCCAGCTCCGATTTGTTCGATTCTATCACTTTATCGCCTCCCTCGACGACAAGGGGCTGGGGGCTGACTTCTTTGTTGCCGCTACCGATCGCGTCCAGCAGGACGTTTTCCGCCAGCTGTACCTGCAGATCATTTTGCCGAAGACGCAAGAACTGGCTCGTCCCTCTGATCGCAAGATGGCAGCCATCGCCCTTACGAAAACGTTAGCGGACTCTAAAGCCTTTGTCGAACGTTATCCGAAGGGCTGGCCGTTGACTTGTAATGCACTGCTCAAGTTGCTCGAAGACCCACCAGTTGTGTCGAGGGGCGACGACGCCATCGCCGAGCTCGACGTAGAGGACAGTAGCTTCGGTGTGGGGTTCACTCAACTCAACACCATCCGACGTTCAACGCCGGACCCTTTCTCCGAGGTGACGGACCTGAGGAAGTGGGTAGGACAATACCTCAAGGCTGCTGATCAGAGACATGGAGGCAGGATAGGCAAGGTGGTCAACGAGGGTTTGAGTCCGGATGCGAAGAAGGTGTTGCACGCTTACATGACCTTGTAAACAGAGCACCGCAGGGCGTGGTCACAAAACAGCGTTTCGATGCCCTTGGAGAGCATGGTCGGCCGAAGCTGACAGGCCAGCCGCTGGAGAGCCTTCTAGAGAACGTGAGAGGCATCAGGTGGCGCCTAGACGAAGGAGATAAAAGCGAATCTACATTTCGGGCTTTCGAGCGCGACCCTTGCCATCAGCCCGCATTTGCAGTTGGGTAGTCACAACTTCGTTCGACTCAAGCAGAGCTCTGATTTGGTCATAACAACCGACCCATACGACTGTGGTACTGTACTGTGTAGCGGCACGAAGTCTTCACCCAGAAACGAGGCTGATGTTTGTCCGACTTCAGCCCCCTCACGCTTCGTGAACTAATCGCGCGACCGGCGAGGCTGAAACATGCATCTTGTCTTCCGATTGGTTGCAAACTGCCGACTGAATCCCTCCCGGGAGATTAAGAGGCTCCTAATCCTGATGCCCATGGCCGGTTGTGGTCTCTCCAATACCTGGATGAGGCGGATCAGCCCTAAAATCCGGAATAACTCCTGTGTGAAGCAACTATGGAGTCCCCTCAGGCACCCGTCGAGGAGGTTGGGAGGAACTCACGTGGCACGCCATCCACCGTCCTGAAAGGACATTTTTGGCTGCCTCAAACCGTCCCGTTTCATCTGCCTTGATAAGACCTTACAGCGCTCCAACCTAGCTTGGAAAGACGCCGTCCGTGGCCACGTCTGGACCACGGATATTCCACACAGACACGCGATTGCAGACGTATAGACAAGACCACTCCGCTCTCTCAATACGCGCGCGGATTGCGATACCAAAAATTCCCGTCACCATTGCAGAACCAGCGTAGGTTGAGGAGCTACCACTATCGAGCTTCATCCATCCGCCCGGGCGGCAGCAACAATATCGAATATGTGTACGCCGAGCCATATTTCTTCTTGAGGGAAGCACGTCGTCGCTCTGGGTTACTCGATCACCGTGTTCGATAAACATGGCTTTTCTCGAACCACGGGAGGCATATCACCAGACACAGACAGACGACTTTGACTTTAAGCCGCTAGACACAAACGTCGAGCTGTCCTCTCTGCGCTCGGGGTCCAGTTTCCAGACCGGCTTCACTCGCAACATTCGGGATCAATCGCCGCTCCTCAATTCCGATGCAGATCCTATCCGGCCAGAACCATCATTCTTCTCCAGAAAGTCACTTCGCTCACTCAAAGTCCCTCTCTTAGTCTGGCCGAAACGTCTGTATGGATGGCGCACCGGCGCCTTAGCCGGCGCGCTACTTGCATCATTGTCCCTGCTTGTCAACCTCGTCATCGTGATCTGGCTGGGTGCCCACGGCAGGGGGGACAGTCTTGTACAACTTTACAATGGCGATTGTGGCAAAGTTCAGACCATGGACGTCTGGGTCCATCTAGCGATCAACGTGCTGAGCACCTTGCTGCTGGGCGGCTCAAATTACTGCATGCAGTGTCTTTCAGCGCCAACACGGGCAGATATTGATCGAGCACATGCGAAGGCAATCTTCCTCGACGTTGGTGTTCCCAGTGTCCGCAACTTGTGGAGGATCCCACGCTACAAAATGCTCCTCTGGTGGGCGCTCGGTCTCTCCTCGATACCCCTCCATCTAATGTACAACTCCGCTTTCTATAAATCCCTCTCGACAAACGACTACAACTTGCTCTTTGTCACGCCGGACTTCGTAGAGGGTGGGGCACTCGGACCACTGAAGGAAACACTCTACAACCAGAACAACGCCTATGCCATCGATCCGCACGAAGTTCAAAGCTCACTCCTCGACGATCCGGATTCCTGGGAGAGGCTTGACAAGAAAGCCTGCATAAATGCGTACGCGACCAATTTCTTGGACAACCGGCGCACCTTGGTGCTCGTCGCCAGTAATTCCACCGGACAAAAAAATGAAAGTGTCCTAGATACGCGGTTATACCTGTTCTCGCCTGGTCTGGGGTTTGATTGGTAAGTGCTCCTGCTGTGGTCTGCGATCTGACTGAGTGTCAACCTTCCTCGGTCTCGCCCTTGAGCGTCCGCTGCTGACGACTTTCCGCTGTTTCAGGATCTGCACCTCCGACCCCTATATGGCCTATAAAATTGGCCCGCTTGCTGATTCGATTGACCGAATGCTGCCCTGCGAAACGTACGTCGACGGAGTCAAGGCCATCGCCGATCAGTGGCAGCCGTACAGCTACGACGTGCAATACTGTTTGTCCCAGCGAGTCCCTGAGAGGTGCAGCTACAGTGGAAACGTCCCCATCGTGGCAATTGTGGTTGTCTGCAACGTCATCAAGGTCGTGGTAATGCTTTTCGTGGCGCTTCGGCTGGAAGACCATCCCCTCATCACCGTGGGTGACGCAGTCGAGAGCTTCCTCAACGAGAATGACAGGACGACCGAGGGCTTATGCTTGCTCAGCAAGAAGGATGTCACGCGTTCCACGCGCTCACGAAAGTCCTGGTCCGTCCACGGGCAAGAAAAGTACGGCGACGCTGCAAGAGGGAAACTTGCCCGGCGACAGACAAAACGTTGGGCCGCGGCGGCCAGCGGGATGCGATGGAGCCTCACCATAGGGTTCTTTCTCCTGTCTTTGGGCGGATGCTCCTTCCTCCTGCCTTTTGCAATGCGAGCAATTGAATCGTACGGGTACGACATCCGAACGATCGGCTTTGGCAAGGTCACTCCCGCAGCTGTCATCTCGGGCTGGAACATCGGCAAGAATGGATCTGCAGCGGACAAGATCCTAGGCTCGATCCTTATCGCCAATTTGCCGCAGACCATCCTGAGTTTTTTGTATCTGAATCTGAATGGGCTGTTGACGAGTATGTGGCTGACCAGCGAATGGAGTGATTTTGCAACGCAACGTAAGACTTTGCGAGTGAGCAAGCCAAAGGGAAGTCAACGCAGTACGCATTTCCTGCAACTGCCCTATAAGATTGCCATTCCGTTGATGGTCTTCTCCGGGATAATGCATTGGTTGATCTCGCAGAGTATCTTCCTCGCTGTCATTGCGGAGTATGGCCCAACAGGTCGCCTTGTTAGTGACGTTGTGATTGCGTCCTGTGGATTCTCTCCGCTGGCAATGATACTGGTCATGGCCTGTGGAGGCCTTATCATTGTCGTCACTTTTGGTTTGGGCTGGTTGAGGAAGTACGATGCGAGGATGCCGCTTGTAGGGAGCTGCAGCGCAGCGATTGCTGCAGCATGTCATCAGCCGAACTGGGATACAGACGCGAGCCTCAAGCCGGTACAGTGGGGAGTAATCCCTGGTGCTGTGGATCGAAAGGGGGTCGGCCATTGCGCATTTACTAGTGGGAAGGTTGAACCTCTGGTGGAGGGAAAGGAGTACGCTGGCATCAGCGACGGCCAGCTGTGAAGGATGAGCGCCTGAAGACCAGCTTGCGGACATACAACATTTGACGTGAGTTATGGTAAGATTTCCGATTCGAAGGTTCTACTCGGATCTATTTGTGCATGTGAACCACCTCGTCGCATATCCGCCAAGCAGGCAAATGAATGCTTGAGATGTTGGAATGCCCGGAATGTCTTGATGAGGACCAGGGACGCCCGGTACGTACCATGTACTAAAGCGCAACCTGGAATAGCGTCAACTATGCTTAAAATCGATTAGTGTCTCGGCCGACCTGCCACAGATTCAAATCATCCTAGAAATTTTGTAGCAAATCGCGGTCTCCCCGGTCTTGGTACATAGTTGCCAGTTCTGTCGTGCCACTCTGCTCCCCAGACTCATGGCTTTATCACCATGGAGGAAGCGACAGTTCTCACAGACGAACAAATCGATGATTTGCTAACCCAGGCCGAGGCTCGGCTGCGGGCAAAAGCTGCTGGCGCCGACGAAGGTGAGAGGCTTCTTGTGACGGGCAACACAGCGTCTAAGCCCAGGAAACCGTACGTACCCCGCGAAGGCGTGGAATACTTGGGTTAACGACATCTATAGACTTCCGAAGTTGCGTCATGGTCTTACTCGATCGACCTATATCAAAGACAATCAGGGTGTGGCACAAACTGACCCGAAGGCTACAATCGTCCAGCCGCAAGTCTCGCAGGCAGGAGGATTGAGGCCGGTCGAACTGCCGCAAAAATCGAAGAAAGTCGTACGTGCTCTATTCTCGTCACAGATCGCTTTGCATGAGGAAATTTATTCCCAATTTTGTTCTTGACGCAGATCAGCAGTCCATCCTGGCCTGCCCTGCATCCGTGAGAGCATTCTATTCATAGTTACTCTGACTGCATTCTTCCATTCTGTTATTTGTTGCATGATTCGCACTGGGACAAGTGCTGACGAGTAAACAGAACGATCAGACATCTGCCGGACCGGAATGGTTCGACATGCCCAAAACCAAGTTGACTCCGCAGCTCAAGCGTGACCTCCAGCTGATCGAGATGCGATCCGTCCTCGACCCACACAGACACTACAAGAAGAACAACCGAAAGGGCAAAGTTCCGACATTCTCGCAGACGGGAACAGTCGTCGAAGGCCCGACCGAGTTCTTCAGCGCAAGAATCAACAAGAAGGAGCGGGCAAAGAATTTTGTCGAGGAGGCATTAGCCACCGAGAACCAGACCGGTCGGTTCAAGCGGAAGTACGGCGAGATACAGGAGGCGAAGATGAGTGGCAAGAAGGCACACTACAAAAAGCTCATGGCGAAGAGGAAGAAGCGACCTTGAAGTTAACACACTGGAGCTTTTCCACGAACCTTTCCTACGCAGGAGGGAGGCAACACCTACAAGTGAGGCTTGCTCTCCATGCGCCGCCCCATGCCGTATGCCTGGCCCCTTTGTACGGCCCCAGGGTCTCTGCACAAAACGCGTGGGTGGGAGGCCGCCACAACCAAGTGTAGAGCCTCATCAGGCTTGAATATTCGAACATTGGGGGTATGGAAGTTCGCCTGATCTCGACAATAGAAGGGCCAGATCTGGGGATTGTGGCAGGAACCTAACCGACTGGAACGGCCTGATTTGCCTCGTGCCGCATAAGCAGCTCGTGTGCATGCCCGCACAGAAGACTGGGGTTTTGGCCCCATCTCGACGGCTAGGGCTAGATAGGGCTCTCCGGGGCCATTTGCTCGAAGCGAGTGGGCGTGTGCGCAGGGTGCTGACTGTGAGGGAGTATTCTGTACCCTGCGTGCCGAGCCATCAAGGTCTAGGAACTATGGATGACAGAGCGATTGCTTGACGGGCGAGAGAGATGATGGTATTCCGGGAAGGAGTAGTCCGTAATTGAAGGAACACTTCCCCCTAGCAGCAGGCAATAATTCCCTGGCTTTGGTTAATGATTGCAATTGACAGTGGCGACCGATTCTTGCTGCTAGTGGCCTCGCAACCCTATCCCTGCAACTGCTGGCTCATCTCACAGCGAGTGAAGGCTGCAATTAAGTTGGCCAGCTTACTCGACTGAGGGAGCGCTGACTTGGGTCGAGCCGCGCCTTTCGAATAGCTCAGTGCCACCCCTTTATTCAGACGTGATCTCGCAATCACGGATCTACCAGATCGCAGTCCAATATCACCTTGGGCGTCGAGTTGCGTCAGTAGCTCGCGGTGTGAGGCGTGCGGTGGGCGTGCGGTGGGCGTGCGTGGCGGCATGGCAGCGCGCCTCCAAGAGCCTCCACAGTCCGGATCAAACTAACCGTGCACTGTCCAAGATCACTCTCTCCTCAGCCTGTTTTTGATCGAAGCTATCTCGCTACAGGAATCGACCAGCCGAAAAGAGACAGTCTCAAGCAACGTGCATGACCATGAAATCACTGCCAGGCGACCAGAAGCGGACAACGGCCGAGCCTGCAGCGCGGTGCAAACCGGTTTGGAATCAACAGGCCAAACTCCATTCAATGAACGAGTCCGGTGAATCTTTGCGAATCACCTTCCTCCTCGACGACGATCCGTGAGTCGGTTATGGTGCGTCCGAGTTTTGTGGAAACAATAAGAAACTCCAGGTGAGACACAGGCTCAACGTCAACCAGGATTGTTATCACGACCTGACCCCAAAATCACCGCAGGCACCGAGACCACAATTACCCGTACCTCGAGCCATCTCCTCCCTGCAGACGCCGTGTGCCTGGGGCGTCGAGATTGAGCCCTGCCACCACCGAGCCGACAAGGGTGCACCAAGCGGGCAATCAGGCCACGCTCCAAAGACGAAGGCCCAGCAGTGTTGGCCTAAAGAGCATGCTTTCCGCTTTCCACCGCTGCTGTCCCAGAGGCGTCAAGCGTGGCCAGTGATCCAATCGCATGACGGTCGAGTGTGGTGGAGGGCAATATTGGCCAGTATCAGACCTGCGCCGCGACTCCGCCCCCATTGGCAAGATATCTTTAGCTGGGCGCCACAGAGCCCCTGGGCGGGGTACTAGGCTGCTTCGAGCCCGAGGCACAGGCCTGGAAAGCTGGACTGTGGACCAAGCGAGCGACGGTACGTATATCCCAGGCCTGCTCCAAGCCGGCCCCAACCACCGACAAAAAGACACGACGACAAACGCAATACTGACCTGCCACTGCAGTATCCCAACTCTGTGGCATCCATCACTTCACATCTGACCTTCAACCTGACTGTTGCCTTGGTTGCTCAACTCTGGAGCATCCATGCGCAATGTGTGCGCGGGCTAGGCCATCGCTGCGGACCATCCACACAACGACCCCGTTACCGCCTCTGATTGGATCCGTGCGGTAAGAGCTCGAAATTTGAAAGCGCTGCATATCCGACTTGAAGATGACTTCAGTTCTGCGACTGGGAAGCAAGGATCGCTCGTCCTTTCTATTCTTCAAGCGTCAGAACAATGCTTCCGATATCCCGACTGACAGCCTTGCGCACTGCCTCCCGGATATTTCTCCTCTGGACACCCGATCCTTTGCTGGATTATTTGATGAATTTATGAGCAACGAGAACCACGATCTGTCTCGAGCCCCGCAAACTCGCCAGACAGCGCCGACACATAGGACGCCGAGTGTAATCAGACCTAGCGTTGGGACTCAGGCACCACCCCTTCCCGCAACGGCGGTGGATACCAAGGTCGACTACTTGAAAGTCAACATCACCAGAAATGATTCAACGGCGTCGTCTTGCTACTCCCAGCCAAGCCACAGAGACAGTGACTTCTCGCCCTTAGTCACACGACAGTCATCCAGCTCAAGCTATACTTTAGAGCCTTCTCCGTCGCTGTCCAGGACAACCACCAGAACACCAAAGCCTTTAATCATTCCCAGACGATCGGCTCAAAATCTTACCACTCATCTCACAGAGTCCCCGATCAGCGCTCAAGCTTCACCGGCAAGAGCAGATTCGTCTCTAAAAAGGGTCGTCTCGGTGGCACCGAATCTAGACAAACCACTCCCACCAGGACCACGAGGCGATGCAAAGAGACCTTCAGCCTCTGTTCCTGATCTGCTTCTACGTCCCCCACCTGCAGAGCTTCCGTCTGAGTTGCCGGCTCGTGCGGTCCCTGAGACATCCGGCCCTATTCAGCGGACGTGTTCACAGCCGGCGAAAATGGCCTCCGCCAGAAGGGGCTCCGATGGTGAAGCCGCGATCGGAAAGGCTATGATCTGGTCTTCTCGATCAATTCGAGAAGCTCGATTGGGCAAGGCCGTCGCCAGTGGGCTCTACAGAAACAGATCGGCCTCCGACACGGAGGTCCCCCAGCACGGGCGGCCACTGAACGAAAAGTCTCGGCGGCACACGGTAGATATGCAGAAGCTCGCTTCAACCGTGCCATCGTCTTCTCGCTCAGCGCAAACAGGGCGGAAGCAGAACAACCGGCCGATTACCGCAGCTACTGCAGAGCGAGTCATCTACAGGATAATGTGTAGTGTGCATACTGCACAGGACCTCCAGGCCACTGCGATGGTCAGCAAGGGATTTTATCGGACATTCCAACGCAACGAATCCAAGCTGGTGAGCCATTTGATGTTCAAGTCATCGCGGGCTGCTTGGGAGCTTCGCCGAAGCACACTCGCCTTGCGAGGATCGAACGATTTCCTTTTGAAGGACTACCGGCGCGACTGCCGCACGTTGGACGCGTTGAAAGCCTTCATTGTGGCGCATTGTAGTGCTAACTGCAAGCCGACCACTCTCATTGGTCTCCTTGGTGAGGACGATGTCCGGGCGGTGCAGATTAACGACGCATTATGGCGGATATGGACGTTCTGTTCTTTATTCGGGAACACAGTCGGTCAATCCAAGCCCTCGCAGACGGAGATCGATTGGCTTAATGGCAGTAGAGCGGCTAGTAACAAGCATCTGGGTGCTGGATTTGCCATCGGTAATGGCAAGGGCCTTTCCATTCGCGAACTCGAAGACATGAACGAGATGTGGCAGTGCTTGCAAGTGCTCGTCTCTGGATTCCATGGCAGAGAACAAGAGGCCAAGCGGTTCGGAGTCTTCGACAACTGGCACCTCCGGGAAACCACTACAGACTCTCAGCACCTACATGAATGGACTTCCTACCTTCTAGCCTTAGGCCCGCAGACTGTCTTGACATTGTCGGGCCATTCGTTCGACCAAGCGAAAATGCTGGGGTTGACCAGCTGGCCTCTTCCGCCGGCCGGCCAAAGCCGATCATCATTTCTGACGGCGGCGATAGCACAGGTGTACCAAGAACGGATCCTCGAAGATGCCACTCGACGAGCGTCGCAAATGTCGTTCCGCCAACCTGCACCAGCACGAGCACCATCTCATCGTCCAACCAGGTCGCTTGATGAAAAGCAACTGGCGCCTATGGTTCCGAGACACGCAGGCAAGCTGCAAACCCAGTCGCTTCGAATCGACACTTCGGCCCAGAGGAGAAGACCTGTCTCTACGATAGCTACGAATGTGACGGGGAACGTCAGCTTAGGTATCCGACCGGATTGTGACCCCGCTAGCACTCGAATGGAGATTCGACCTGATTGTGATCCTGCGTGGAGGACAAGCCAGGCGCCTTCGATTCTCCCAACTTCGCCTACCGTCGATCCGACTGTCTACTACTCGCTTTCGACCACCGCGACAGCGAGCGCCAAGCTTGGAGCCACATTATTCCCGATGGACTATGCGAGTCCCGCCCCACGGGTGCCTTTTCCTGTTCCCGAACGAACCATGGCTCCGGTGTCTGAAGTGGTAGACCCAGTGGACAAAGCGATGAATCTGCTAGTTGGTGAGCTGGGGTTTGCCGAGACGAGGGCGAGAAAGGCTCTAGCCATGTGTGACACTGGTTCTGGGATTGACTTGCAGAAAGCGATCGAATTACTGAATGTTGACTCGAGAGATCTGAAGCCAAAGAACGCTTTGCCCGTGGAATTGCCAACGCCAGGAGGCCTTGCGAGCCCCGCCAAGGCACAGATGTTACAGCCGCCGAAGGCATATTGCGACGGGTACTGCAAGCGCAGCTCAACTCTCTCCCACTCACGGAACCAATCCACGGGAACAGCGGGTACAGCCACTGATGACTCAGTCAGCCCAATTTCCATATTCAACGATGCCGAATGGTCCGACACTATTTCACCCCTTGCGGGCAGCTCGTTATCGGGGTCTCGCAAGGGCACTATGAATCGGGTTTCGAGCAAGGCGAAGGCATGGAAGGTTCTTGGTCTGGACAATTCGCCCAAAGGGAAGAACTCGGTGCTGCGAATCGACGAATATCAAGCCAAGGTCGAGAGGCGCAAAAGCATGCGCGCTGCAGCCTTTGGCGGTGAGCACAGCCCAAAGATCAAAGAAGGACTAGGGAAAAACTTGCTTAGTCTGGGTCTAGGGGTCGGAAGCAGTGCAGCAGCAAAGTCCGTGGAAGAGCAACTTGATCGCGCCCGTGCAGAGGAGAGGCGAAAGAAAGAGAAGAACCAGGCAAGCTGCATGCGTCGTTATGCATGATTTGTCTCCATCCGCGTTGGCATGCTATCATTAAGAGTGGTAAGAGCAAGGCCCTTCCGGCAGTCGACGACACCTCTTTGGAAGACCGCATACTTGACTTGAACTGTGCCCAAGTGCGGCAGCATTCGCAAGTCCAGCTTCACTCCTTCGGCACGGACATTCCACCATCATTTGACCCGTGGATGCAAACCGCGAAGCCACTCCTTTGTACATTATAACGCGAATATGTGGGATCATACATGGAAACGGGAAATAGGAACCAGGAGTCGCGAGACGATAGAAACGAGGAAGAAACGATACCCACTTGCAGGACGAACATGCAACAATTAACGACCACAATATGCACACACGCACACACACACGGATGAGATACCTTCGATTTGACTTGGCGGCACAGGCACAGGCACAGCAGCTGTGTAGACCCCGAACAAGGGCGTCACATGGCTCGCATGATTCTTTCCCCTATACGAGGCCCTCTTGCATATATACTTTACATATGGATTGTACACCAGCCACTCCTTTTCTTGCATGGCGGAGTTTTGGGGCGAAAGTCTTTTCCCACACGGGGGAGCATCGGCGGCATGAGTTCTTCCCATCATCCATGGCTACTCAGTCAGTCAGTCAGTCAGTCAGCCATGTCGTGGGCGTTTCACAAGGGGATATATACATCCTTGGTAGTGACATATATGCTTGAATCTACATGTTCTTGACTACGTCTTAGAGTATCTCAGAAGCATGGTTCCTGCCCGGCCTGAGGACTGACTGATACACGTTACCAGGACGGAGGAGGAGTAGTCGTCGACGTATCTCGTCACTTCACGTATCTCGTCACTTCACGTATCTCGTCACGGTGAAGTGACGCGATACGAAGCTTTTTGGAAGAATGGAAGACCGGATAACCCGCAAACGTACGTAAACAAGCAAATGAATGAACGATGAGTGAGTGGAAAAGAATCTGAGACTTCGATTCCACTGATGTTTTAAAAAGAGGCCGCGCGACCTACAGTACAGTATGTCCCGCTATTTGCTTAGTCCGAAGAACACGACGCAGCACAGGTAGCCCGTACTCCGTACTGAGCTGTGCTGTGTCCTGTGCTGTGCTTTCGTTTCCTTTCCTTCCTTCCCTCTTTCTCTTTTGCCCCGATCCTTCTACTGTGTCACGCCGGTTTCTGGACTGCCTTGGCTCTGCGTCTTGCGGTTTGCGTGTTGCGGTTGTCGTGCCCCCTGCCCCGACCATTCCCTGCACGAGGAGACTGAGCTACATAGGATCCGTGCTTGGTGCTGATTGTCGGATCCGAGCTGAACTTTCCTCGCCTCGCGCCACCGTTTTTGCCTAGAAGAGTGGTTTTGGGTCGAGTTTCGAACGGTGTTTAGCACCACCGACTGATGCAGTGGTCGAGCTCGGCCGGCGACCGTGCTGCAGAGTGGGTAATGCCGCCCGCCGTCACCAGTGCAGTGGGCAACTGTGGAACGCTGAGGTACTGAAGACCTTTCGAACCCCCATAGTGTTATGCGTTCCTCTTTCGCTCTGGAATTCAGACCACACCACATTCGAGATATGCATCGACTGGCTTTGTCCCTTCTTTTTCCCTTCCCGGCGCCGTTGCAGTTGGAATGATGACGCTGAGACGTCGTACAGTACCGTGTACAGTATGCTTCGGGTCGCACCTTTCTTCGGCATGAGACGTGCTTCCAGCTCTTGTTCTGCCCCTTACTTGCCCCTGGGCTTCTTTTCAATCCACCGCGGCGAACATGCTCAGATAGATACCCCAGAAGAGTCCGACAACAGCCCCCACAATGACCCTCCTGTTCACGGGCACCAGAGTGAAATTCATAATCGCAACAAACGGCCAGACCTTCCAGCTGTTGATCATGAGCGGGAGAACATCCCTCTCCACCTCTCTCTGCACCGCCCTCGCTGGCTTTCCTTTAAAGGCGGCCATGGCGGCGACGAACGCAAGTGTGTTGACAAAAGCGCCCAGCGTTTGGTCGAACAGCAGCTTGCGCAAAGTATTGGGTATGTCGAGCCGTTTCTCGTAGATGGTGTCCGTGGACGACGAGGGAGCGAGCGTCTGGCCGGGGAACTTGTACTCGAGGTATTCTTGCCAGAGAATGTTGGGCGGGCAGGATATCAGAGTGAAGATGACGAATTGTGCCAGCGGCACGAGCCTGACGGAGAAGGATGTCTGTTGGGAAACCAGGTGAGTTCAGGTCTCCAAGACGGATGAGGCAGTTGGGGTATGAATGCGCGCTCTCACCCCTTCCCGATATGCTTTGATAGCTTGAGCTGCCAGGTTGGAGATTGCTGAGAGGGCGGCGGCTTGGAGAGTCGTGGTCACGATGTGTGAGTCCATGGTTGAGGCCCAGGTGAGGGCGTAGCCGGTGAACCAGGAGTTGTAAACAAAACGAAACAACACTATCGCTATGTACAAGAACAAACGCAAGGAGCAGACCGCTGTCGTCGTGGTCGTCCGGTGCTGATCGACAGCAATGGCCGAACCCCAATGGTGATCGATTGGGTTGAATCGCATACACAGTAATTACTGTGTACTCCGTACGAGATACTCACGCACCTCTCGCACCCTGCTAGTTCAAGTGCGTAGGTGGCTTGTGGCATCACGTGATTGCGGTGTGGCTTGGGTGGCCTGGTGGCTGGAGTGGCTGGCGTTGACCGTCCCCTCCCCTTACTGTGTGGTTGCTGGCCCTCACGGCTTGACAACGCATCAATGATGGCGGCCCAACGTGAGGCTGATCCCTCCATGTTTTCGGGACCGATCCTTGCAGCAGTACGAGTTACTCGACTGAAGCGGTTCTGAATGTTTCGGGAGCTTGACGTCAAGCGAAGAGGAACCGAATGGATCATCAGGCACAAAGTACATAAGGTCGGATTGATGCAGAGGATTTGCAGGAGCCGTGGTGTGGGAAACGCAGCCTTCCCAGCGTACGGCCGCTTGGATTTGTTCACGGATTTAACCACGACAGACGTGGAAGAGGCGCTGGCGAATCCTCTGTCGCGCGTGCCTGGCCGCAGCTCGCGTCATGGTCATCATGTGGACGGCGGGAGACAAATAGAAAGCAGTGTTGATGAATACGTATTGGATGTTGGCACAGGCAAACCAACGCTTTGTTGTCACTGGCCGCCTCGAGGCCGAAGGCACGGCCATCAGTGGCGAGTCCGATTGGTTGTCCATTGTTGACATGAGCGTTTTGGATAGATGCATCGAGATTGCAATCCATCACCAGAGGAGACGGCAAAGATGTGATGAATGTGTTTGTGTGTCTCGGGATGGTTCTTGTTCTGCTGGCAGCACGGACGGGTCAAGCTAGGCGAGCTGAAAGCGTGGACGACCCCCGCAGAATGACTGCAACCCTCGCCCACGCACGCTTCCAAGGTTCTCGCTCACGCCGTGCTTCTGGTGCTTCGGGTGCTTCATCAACCTACCTACGTACTTCACTCACCGACTCTCCTCTCATCATCACATTCCCAGCCTGCTTTTCCCAGCTTTTCAAGGCTGCTGCCGTCTCTTGTCTACTGCGCCAACTTGTACTGACCGCCCTCTTCCCTCGACACTGCGCCGCATCCCCGACGGCGCACACTCCGAGTTCAAGTGCAGGTTGAAGAACGCGACAGCTATAACCACCGTCGCTGTCTGTCAACGCTTTCCCCCACCTCAACGCCGGCGCATCTTCAGCAACTGCCTGCTCTTGCTGCGATCGATTCTGAGCTTGTTTCTTCTCCGCCACCCTCGACCCTGCGTTACCCGTCAACTTGACGAGGCCGCACCACTTGCCGGCCTCCGCCGTCATGGATCAGCAGCAGAAAGCACCCGCCCCAGTGTACGATCTGTCCCACGGTGGTCATTATGGAGCAAGCGCTGCCGTGAGTACTCCAATTTCTCCATCCTAAGATGAACACCGGACCCCAGAGTTTGGGAAGAGGAGGGTAATGGAAGACAAATCGGATATACTATCATGGGTCCACCGCAAGTACTTGGTGCAGAAGGCGCTGACAGAGGAACACAGCTCTCCGCCCAAGGATATGTGCCTCACACAGAACTGTACTCGGGATTATGGTCCAATGTAAGTCATCGGGGATATCCCTCTTGCGCTCTTCGCTTACACTCGTTTCAGATCAACCAAGGCTTGACGGGCCCATCGCGAGAAATCCTGGCGACGTACTGGCAACAAACCATCAACCATCTCGAAACCGATACCCACGATTTCAAAATCCATCAGCTTCCTCTCGCCCGTATCAAGAAGGTGATGAAGGCCGATCCAGAGGTCAAGATGATCTCGGCCGAGGCTCCCATCCTCTTCGCGAAAGGCTGCGATATTTTCATCACGGAACTCACCATGCGCGCCTGGATCCACGCCGAGGACAACAAGAGGAGGACCCTGCAGCGCAGTGACATTGCTGCGGCCCTCGCCAAGAGCGACATGTTCGACTTCCTCATCGATATTGTCCCTAGGGAAGACAGTGCCGGCCATGGGAGCTCGTCAAAACGACCAAATACCAGTGGCCAAGCCGCCGCCACCCAAGTCCAGCAACAGCAACCTCAACCCCAGATGCCTCCTCCTGACTATGGCTTGCAGCCAGGCACAATGGGCCCTCCCGACACCCAGTACGGAAGGCCTCAAATGTACCCGGCTCACATGGGCGGCGATGGGCAGCATGATCCCAACCAGGGCTACGGACAGCCCCCGCAAATGTTTGGTGGCGGCGACATGTACAACCCCTACGCGCAAGGGCAATTCGGCGGCACTGGAGCACAGCAGGTAAGCGAGACATCCGATGATCTCTTCGTTGTTGTTTTTTCGCCGTGGACACCATGACCTGACGAATCTCGCTTAGATGTACTCGAATCTGCCAGCCCAGAGACCGCAGAGTCAAGGATATGGCGGTCCCAGACCCGGCACCGCAGGAAGAGATCAGCAGGTCAATGAGCAGGGCTACGGTCCTGGCTAGTGGCCGGGCCCAGCCTTCGCGCAAAGAGCCTCCC